TGCAAAAGGCAGGACAATAGTTAACAGGACCTTGCCCGACCTCCCCTGAACAGGCGACGCTTCCACCTAGCAGCCAAACACACGCTGGAGATGAAATGTTAAGGGAAAGGCTCCTTACCAAGAAATTCTTTCTCGGGCGTTCTGAAGAGGCAACGTAGAAGTCAATCCGCGTTGCATTGCAAGAAATCACGACCATCCTTTCCGCCCATGTTGCAAAGATGAGGTGTTGATGGGGTGCAACTACGCAAGGATACAAGTTTAAGGAAATGATAAAAGATGGAAGGGCATAAATCAGAAGTAGGAGACAAAGCAAGGGAGAAATGCAACCACAAAAGCTGCTCGGAACCATCCATTCCATCCCGCCAGCAACAAGTAACAAGTAACAAAAGTTATACAGCGCTGAGCCCAAACAGAAGAAGGAAACATCAGGCGCCGAATTGGTGCCTGCCATGAGACCATATACATGTAAGAAAGGAAATAATCAAAGAAATTGGAACACAAACAGGGGACCAAAGGCCGCAGCACAGAGACGGAAGTGGGAGAAAGGTGGGGTTCAGCGGTAGACAAATCATGTTTTCCACTTTAAGGACAGCACAGAGACAGAAGCAAACGACAAATGAGAGACAAGTAGGAGATACAGTAAAGGAAATATTCGGTCCCAATTCCTCCGCAGACAGGAAAAGAAGCGGTAGACAAGTGGGAGACAAGTAGCAAAGTAAAGTCTGCGGTCCCAAAGAACAAAATCACAGGAACAAACTTGGGAAGCAAATGTGAAACGCGTGGAAACAAGTGGAAGGCACGCTCCTACCACCCCAATGATGCACCAACGAACCCGACAATAAACTTCTTCTGAAATCGCGCAGCATGGCATACTGGGAGACAAGTAGGAGACAAACGAAAATAAAAAGCAGCCTAAAGCACCCACACTACAGCGTACTGTGAGACAGTAGAAGACAAGAGGGAAACAAGTGTAGCTTCCTGCAGCCCAGAGCACCCACAACTTATTTGGAGACAGTAGGAGACAAGTGTAGGTTCATGCGGCACAGAACATCCAAAGTATCGACAGTACGGGAAAAGTGCAGAGCACCCACTGCATACTGGGAGACAGTCGGAGACAAGTGGGAGACAAGCGGGACATAAGTGTAGAATTGTGCGGCCCAAAACCCACAATACTCTTGCAGACACAGGGGGGCCCAGTTGGAGACAAGTGGGGGGCAAGCGTAGAACCATGCAGCTCAGAGCATCCACAGCATACTGTGAGACCTTGGTAGACAAGTGGGAGGCAAGTGCAGCCCAAAGCATCCAGAGAGCATTTGCAGATGGGAAACAGCTGGGAGCCAAGTTGGAGACAGGCAGGAAATTCTGGAATCAGCCGGATCTGCAAGACAAGGGGTAGGCGGGTAGGCAAGTGTGGAGCCACGCGGCCCAGAGGCCCAGAGCATCGACAAGACATCTGGAAAGTGCAAGCCAAGCGGCCAAGATCATACAGCACACTTGGAAACCGTGGGGGACGAGCGGAAGCGTTAGTCATGCTGACCAGAGAGCACCAACACTGTACTTGGCGACAGTCGGAGACAAACAGGAGACAAGCGCGTATAGGCCAAAATAACACCAATAATTAGATGGATAATGCTCACGCTAAACACAAATGTATATATATATATATAAACTGTGCTTTGTAGTGCTAAATTTTTTGGCCCGTCACCAAGTGTAGAGTCATGTTGCCCACAGCGCCCACAGCATGCTGGGAAACAGTGGGAGACAAGCGGGAAACAAGCGGGAAACAAGCGGGAAACAAGCGGGAAACAAGTGTAGAATCAGGCGGCCCAGAGAACCCAAAGCATACAGCAGGACAGTCGGAGACAAGCGCGGGACAAGTGGGGGACAAGTGTAGAACCATGCACCTCAGAGCATCCACAGCATACTGGGAGACAAGTGGGAGGCAAGTGCAGCATCATGGGGCCCAAAGCACCCGCAGCGCGAGTCATTCGGCCCAGAGCACCTACAGCACATTGGGAGACAAGTGGGAGATAGTCTAGAATCAGGGGGTCCAAAGCATCCACACCTTTCTTCGAAAGCGGAGAACCAGGCAGCCAACTTGGAGACAGTCGATCCAGCGCAGAGCCTGGGAGAGAGACAACTAGGAGACAGGTGCAGCACGGGAGACAAGCGTAGATTCATGCGGCCCAGAGCACCCGCAGCGTACTTCGAGACAGTGGGAGTCAAGCGGTGGGCAACCTGGCGACAAGTGTGGGAGAAAAGGGGGAGACAAGTGCAGAATCATGTGGCCCAGGGCACCCAGAGTCAGAAACAAGTGGGAGACAAGCGGGGTACAAACGCAATCATGCGGCCCAAAGCATCCACAGACAAGTGGGATACAAGTGCAGAATTATGCGGCTCAGAGCATCCACAGCGTACTTAGAGACAGTGGGAGACAAGGGAAACAAGTTTAGATTCAGGTGGCCCAGACCACCTTGAGCGTATATGGGAGAGAAGTGTAGGTTCATGTGGCCCAGAGCACCTACAGCATACTGGGAGATAAGTTGGAAACAATTGTAGCACCATGCGACCCAGCGCTTCCAAGGAATGGCAAACAAGTCGGAGGCAAGTCGGAGAAAAGTCGGAGACAAGCAGAATCATGCGGCCCAAAGCACCCACAGCACACTGCGAGACAGGTGGAGAGAAATGGCAGAAGTGGGGGAGAAAAGTGTGGAACCATGCAGCCCAGAGCATCCATAGCGTACTTGTTACTTGGAGACAGTGAGACGCAAGTGGGAGACAAGTGTAGAATCACGCGGCCCCGATCACCCATAGCATCCTAGGAGAGTGTACTGGGAGAAAAGCAACGCCCAGGAACGCAAGCCCGGAGATGGAAGCAAAATCATGCAACTCTTTCACAGGAGTAAGAAACCCATACAGGTAGCTCAAAACATTTAGTTGAGATTGCAGCCTGCCTTCACAAGTTCTTGCTCAATCTTGTTTTATATAACATGTGCTGTAAATCTTTGTTGTGTTGGAATGATCAAGGCATAGGGCGCTTCATTTTGTTTGCAATATATCTTCAAGGACCACAATCGCATTATACCAATTATTCCCTGCCACGGGGGTGGGGGCGTGTCATAACGTTCTTGGCGAGTATAACACGGGGCACACGGAACTTGTTGCCCTTGTTAACATGTTGCACGTGCTCTCTTTTGGTCAACAGGGGGCGTGGGGGGGTACGAGGGAAAAAACATGTACTATGTGGCGCGCGCAGTTTTCCTAGTAAAAATTCTAAATTTGGATAACCTGAATTTAGAATTCAACCGTATAATTCTAAATTTTCCAAGCGCCAAATTTAGAATTTTTAGAATTCAATTCTAAAATTATAACAAAAATATTTTTTTCCAAGCTTAAAATTTAGAAATGTTTGAATTCAATTCTAAAATTGTAAAAAAAAAAACAAGCTCAAAATTTAGAATTTTTAGAATTCAAAGCTGGATTTGGGGAAGTTGAACTAATTCTAATTTAGAATTTTGATTTTTTTTAGAATTTTTAGAATTCAATTCTAAAATTCTAAAAATTCTAATTTTTTCCAAGATTAAAATTTAGATTTTTTAGAATTCAATTCTGAAATTCTAAAAATTCTAAATTTTTCCAAGCTCAAAATTTTGATTTTTTAGATATTTTTAGAATTCAATTCCAAATTCTAAAAATTCTACATTGTTTCCAAGCTTGAAATTTAGAATTTTTAGAATTCAATTCTAAAATTCTAAAAATTCCAAATTTTTCCAAGCTCAAAATTTAGAATTTTTAGAATTTTGAGAATTCAAAGCTGGATTTGGGGAAGCTGACCTAATTCTAATTTAGAATTTAGAATTTTTAGATTTTGTTTAATGTTTCGAATTCAATTCTAAAATTCTAAAAATTCCAAATTTTTCCAAGCTCAAAATTTAGAATTTTTAGAATTTTGAGAATTCAAAGCTGGATTTGGGGAAGCTGACCTAATTCTAATTTAGAATTTAGAATTTTTAGATGTTTTTTAATGTTTAGAATTCAATTCTGAAATTTTGAAAATTCTAATTTGTTCCAAGCTCAAAATGAAGCAAGTAGAAGGCGCGTTTTTTAATGCTACGCGCACGCGCACCGGTCAAATAGGTCCCACTCTTCCCTGTCCCGCCCCAGCTGCAGCATGAAATTGTTACTGACTCAAAACTGTAGGAAGTGGTGGGTCAATAGAAAATTGGATATAGGGAAGACAATTCTACCTGTGATGTGGCTTCCGATGCATAAGAAAACGGGAAGAAAAGAACGCTGACAGAGTGAAAGAGATGAACAAGAAATATAGGGATGAACGTAAGAGTGAAGTGAGTGAATGCACGAAGGAATTTCATAGGGAAGATGACTGTTTGATCTGTGGGTGTAAGGTGAGAAAATGCAAGAAGATAAGACATGTCAAGAGCAAGAACCATCTGTTGGGGTGGGTGGAGAAGGTCAGATTGAGGGGGCTGGTCAGGTGAAAGGGCAATATAGAGCATATCCTTTAATAGTGTATGTTTTTTTTGGCGCAACGTAGGGTAATTTTTTGCGAAAAACGCGCCGCGCCACATAGTACGTGTTTTTCCCTGCCACCCCCCCACCCCCCCTGTTGACCATAAGAGAGCATGTGCAACATGTTAACTACGTAACGCATCTTGCAGGAACCTTAAGACATCCAACCCTAAATTCAATTCTTGAAACTTGAACCCTCATTTTCACAACCTTCATCTTTCAAATTTGCAACCCTTCGAAGGGATCGTGAATGGCGCAACCCTTCCAAGGGCGGCGTATCAGCCGCATGCCTCAAACAACAAGGGATGCAAAAGGGAAGCAAGATGAGTTACTATACAGTATCCAGGACTACCCTTGCAAACAGTGCTACTTTTAGAACTTTCGAACTTTTAAAACGTTTAGACTGTTGATTTTTGGAACTTCGAACCATCAATTAGTCCCAAATCACATCTGCCCCCCCCCAGGTTTGCCTTCTTCTGCTTCATCGCCAGTCACAACAGCATCAACAGCTTCATCTTCGTCCTTGGTGGAAGCGACTTCATTTGCTTCTACTTCTGCCTCCTCGACAGGGCACGAAGGAGTACAGTACCAAAAACTGGAAGCCAAGAGGTAAGGGACGAAAGCTGGGAAGGTAAAGGGAGAAGGAGAAAGGTGTGGTGAAAGAGCAGTGTGTGAGGAATTGGGAGATGCGGAGTGGAGAGTAAGTCTGATGATGCTGAGGATGCTTATTGCGACGATATGGCCGCGATGTCCCAGTGGGGGGATTGAGGCACGGCGAAACCGTGATTAGAAACGATGCAAAGCATGTCGAAAGCGGTTGGCTTCCTATGGGCAGACATTCTAGCTCACTTTGATGTGGGAAGATGTTCAGTGCACTGACGGTCAATACGGTCAATAGCACATTGTTGCAGGATATTGCATGGACAATTGCCTCATGCGTCTGCCGGCATAAACATTCAATGTCAGTGTGTGTGTGTGCGTGTTTTTTTCGTGTTTGCATAAGTGACAAAAGCTTGCGACGGAGCTGCACACATGTGGGAACCTTTTACTCTTTTGAGTTCCCTTGAGACCACAACAGGCATCCCTGATGATACTGAAAGAGTTGAATTAATGAAGGAACCAAAGCCCTTTGAAGGCTACCTGAACGGAAACAAAACCAAAGAAACCAGCTCTTCAGATGGTCCCATGAAAGTTGTGCTCTTCCACAAAGCCCATCCTCCTCATGCTGCTCCACCACACCACCGGTCACGGTGCCAATCTCGCCAATCTCCTGTAGCACGCTCTATTGCAACACATTGCAGATTCTTGCTGAGGTGGTCGATACTCTACTACAATAGGAAAGGCCTTGGTCGAACCACCATGCTGTGGGGGGTGTCAAATTATATCTATATAATATATATATATTACGTATTAATATTATATATTTTATAGAAATCATTAGTATATAGCAAGCTCTTCATGTAAACATACACTATGAAGAAGTTGTTTGGGATGCTCGTGGTGTTGGGTGCAGCTCAATACCGCACAACCAAGCAACCCAGAGGTGTCTGATTCTCATACTCTTAGCATATCTCTGGACCCTCCCCTGTGGGTATATACTCCAGCAAAAACATATCCTCTGAGACAAGCCCCAAGTCATCATGTCATCACTATCCAGAGGTATGCAAAGGCCATAGAAGTCTCATGAAGTCTCCATACCAACGTGCTGTCTTCACAATACGGAGTTGCAGTCCGGAGGCAACACTCCCAAGTTTAGCTTTCAATATGTGTGCACTCCCACTGCTGCCTCTGCACATCACCCATTCAGATCATTCAGAAATTTGAGCATCATATAGAATCATGATTGAATCATGATAGAATCATGATTGAATCATGTACAATGTAGATTCCATCCAAGACAGATAAGACAGCACAGCACAGGTTTCCACTGGCAATGTTCGAAGAAACGTCCTCACCACGGAAGTTCAAGTCGTTGACATAGCCTGTGGTTTGCAATCACAAATCTTGTCAGAGTCAAAGAAATGCCATAAATCAATACAAACATATACAAACTCAATCATCCGTCATTGATCAGAAAAGGGGCTGGAGCCACCAGTTGTAGAGTCCTAGTGTCATGACTGGATCCACAAGAATATTTTAAGGCATCATGTCCCACCATCAATGAGGCAGTGTATTTCTCAGAGTGAACAACTGATCCATTCACATGATTTCAAGTGTCATGTCCATCTATGTTCAATAAATTCCAATTATGTCTATCTAGTAGTAGATCAAACATCAAAGACCCATAACTGTTAGAGGACAACAGAACTAAGGCATAATGCGACATAACCTGACTGCTTTTGGCTAACAACATTCCTAGCTGATTGGAAGCAAGGCGATCAACTAGGCGATCACTCCACCGCCTTTGCTCCTGTCAAACTCAGTCAGACTCAGTCACCCCCTAAAAGGTCAGCTATGGTCATGGTCAGACGGTCAGCTCTTACACTTCACGGCCGCTGATCCCAGCGAGCCTTTCATTTGCTCCTCCACTTCATAGGCAGCCAACTGGACTGTGTCGCGAAGTCTACGTGGAGCCGGGCAACTATTCGATCGCACCTGGGTCCAAAAGAACTCACAGTGTCATACACGGTTCCACCATGTTGCACTCGCAGATGGGGCCGAATTCGAGACTTGTTACCCTTGGGAAATGTATGCACTCATACGAATGTTCATGAGGTACCAGTAAGTGATTTGATAGAGTAAGCTGAGAAACCTGCTGAGGCTATGCGTGAACACGGTATGGGTTGTCTGCAGTTCGCCTGCTACGTTCCAAGGCACCCTCTCCTCGCGACTGTCCTCCTTCACGTCGATGAAGGTTGATCGATACCTAAGTCGATTCAGAAGTCTTCAACATCAGTTCGCATCAGCTTGTGCTCTAGTGCATGCAACTTGGCAAACTAGGACCTGATTACCAGCATCTGCATCTACAAAAAGCATCAAAAAGCCAAGTGTTTATGTAACTATACAATGCAATTGGATGGCTTGTGCCACAATCCCACAATCCAGTTCCGGGTGAGTTCCCCAAATGATCTCCAGAAACTGAACACAACCATCGTTTTGAAGCGCAGAGACAAACCCTGTGCAAAAACATGCAAAAACGCAAGAATGTCTCTCCTATTGAGTAGCTCAAGTGTGTAAATTCTGGTCCAAGAAACTCAAGCTCCCAGGCGATCATATTGTCTGCAGCCTCAGGAGGTCAAATCAGCAACGCCAGCATCAAGCACCATCACTTCTTTTGCAAAACAGATAGCACCAGGATAGTCCCACCCATCCCACCCTGTTAGCCAACGCTATGCCTTTTAATCTCCAAGGCTCCAACGCAGGGATTCGTCGTGTTCCTCGAAACTCTGAACCAAAAATGGCGGCGGCAGGTGTGCGAGCAAATCTCACCTTCTGGTGTTGCTATGAGTTTGCCAATCCAGTGGCAACTCCAAACCAACTTGAAATGTCAAAGTTCCTATGGAGCGTTTGTGGTCGTGAGGATCAATCGCGTGCTAATGTATTCGTAAAAATTAACCAGTGCGTCTCTCGGCATTGGCTGTCCAAATTCTGCTCAACTTGCAGGGCAAAGCTTTGCAATATCTGGAAGATCCTGGAAGACTCACTCCATCATTGAACCATATTGAACCCACCAAATCCATCGCCCTTGCTGACATGGTGTTGTGACCTGCGCGTCCGCTCATCACAACCAGTGCTGCCAATGAGATCGCTCACCACAGACAGGGGCCCTGGCATCGCAGAAAAAATGGAGTTGGCCAAAGTCTAGACCTGTCTTCAGATAAAGTATGTTGAAGTGCTTGTAAACCAGACTTTTCAAGACGTTTGAAGACGTATGAATGGGGAACTAACAGACACTGGGGTGCAGTGCAATCATGATGTACTCCCGCAACCAAGACCAGTTTTGCGTTCCAGCTGGTCACACCCCATTCCCCCGCATGACCTCCCTCATCAGGTCTTGCCTCGGTGCAGAGATCTCCATTCCGCGACCGCGAAACCGCGAAACTGCGACTGTCTCTCTATTCATCAAGCTACATCTTTCCATCCAATTAGCACTCCTTGAGCTTGCAATCTTCTGCAATATTCACGGTGTCTTGATGTGTCTTGTCTGCTGATTTGAACTCACCAACTAGTCCTACTGACTATTTGACGACCGAAATTCCATGGCTGTCATGAATTCAGATGACGTGAATTAAGCCTAGCTGAGCTTTTAATTTCAACACACAAGAGCCTACTCCTCCAGAATACCCTAATCATTCGTAAACAATCTCAAATCATAGCAAATCATCCCAAATCCATTTCACCCTGTAAACGTGGGATGCTCAAACTCTTAAAGTCATGCTTTACTGTCAGCCCTGCTATCTCTGTTTCCAACTTCCCAGGCCCCTCCACTTGGGCTGCCCGTGCTGGCCCAGCCGGCCTTGGATGCATCTGTGAGATGATGACATCATGGCTGAAATATGCTGAAATCAGGTTGAAATCCTATAAATCCATATATATATATAAATCCTATATGTTACACTGTTACACTACTGTTACACCAACCGCCTCGGCTAATCTCAGGAGCTGACTGTGCATCATCTCCAGACTCGTTGCCTGTGATTGGATTTGTCGCAAACGCACGCAATCATCATCAATAATCTATAAGACAAGTATATAAAATATGAAAAAAAATGAATCCACCGAATTCCTGTAGAACAACTTCAAAACCCAACCTCGCCTCTTTTGCACCTCGACTGTTTCTCTACATCATTGCCCAGCTCATGCATGTCATGGCGTAGTCATATAGTGTCTGCACTTCAGACCCCAATGGCCCAATGGCCATCTGGTCATTTTTCTTGGCTTCCAAAACAGCTCTGCCATCTGCACCGATCCGCACCTGCGAGTTCAACAATCTGCTGCCACTCTGGAGAGGTGCGGGTCACCAATGGGGCGATCCTGAGTTCCGTAAGGACTGACGGTGAGATGTGGATCGTTTTTGAGGATGCCTTGGGTTTCCAAGCGGGCACAAAGGGTCTCCCACCATTTGTTCACTGGGTTTACACATGTTTGCACTTGCATCCATGTGAGATAATTGATGATAATTGGATCCACGCCTCATGAAATATGAAATTGATACAGTAAACCACCTGTCGGCCCCGGGTCGACAGAACTGGCCGCAAGTTTCCTCAAGTCCGGCCCGTCAGAGTTTCCTGAGATCCAAGCACCCAGGCGGGCCCCACGCCAAAGAAACCCAACAAGGCCTCAGTGCCGAACATCGAGGGAATGGGATCCAATGGGACAAAGTAGAAATAGGATATAAAACGCCTGGAGAGTTGGGAGTGTTGGGGTCCGCAGAGCTGTATACTGCATAGATAATGCATGATGCATCTTGATATATCTTGATAATATAATATTCTGATATAGAGCTAGCCCATAGATTTCCATAGACTTTGTGACAGCTTGCAGCAAGATCTCAAAACATCCAAATAGATGCCCAGCATCAGACGCCCAGGAAGCCGGACTCCAGAGGCAGCACCGAAGGCAATAAATCTGGATCGGTTTGGTGGTATGGTAACGCCGACACAACGTTGCTGGACAAGGAAACATTATCTATGGATATCTAAAGTATTCGAAAGCATTCCAAAAGTATCACAAACTTTCATATTCTAAAACATCATAATATCATATAATATCTAAAAAATGTATGAACATGACAAGACATGACAAGGAATGCTTGATGCAAAGTATATCATGGGCAAGATGAGGTGCTTCGCGGGTCTCTGACCGCAGGGCACCCCACAGCACCTTGGCAACTTCTCAAACTGTGTGCTGGTGTACTCCAGCTGCAACCTGGCCAGGATCCAGGAGGATCCAGGAGGTTTAGATGCATTCTGATTCGATTTCTGGTGATTTCTGGTGATTTCTGGTGCATAAGTCCATCGTCTCGGGATACATCCCATGGCCTGGCCACCTCGTGCTCAGTTCGTGGGAGGTTACCCGGACCCAAGGTCGGTCCTGGCGTATCCAGGAGCCACCTCTTGTGCCTTTTGTGCTTTCATAGAAGCTCACATAGTTTTTCATCCGCCAAGTAAATGTAGTAAATTCATGTCAATTCTAGAAGCTCACATCATATCACAAACAATCATTTCACTGCGATTTCAACACCTTGGCATACTCAACTTCTGGATCTTCCGTGTGTTGCGTCTGCTGAGCTTGCCCGTTTGAAGTGACTCAAGTCAGATTGAGTGCCACTTTTGCAACCGAGTTGTTCTATGTTGTTCAGCTTTTCAGGTCCCACAATGGATGCCTACCTTACCGTACATTATCATACCAGTAGCACCAGTAGCACCAGTAGCACCAGTAGCACCAGTAGCACCTGTACCTGTCCTGCTACATCGAGCACTTCTGGCACATCTGTGGAGACGTGGCCATCAGGTGTGACCACCTGAGTTTGGTACTTCCAAGGTGGTACGAACAGCTGAACAGCACTATATCATGCCATTTTTCTGGCGTGAGAGGTGAGGAAGTCTGGTGTAATGAAACATTGGTAAACATTGGCAGTGTCTAAACAATGTTTGGCTGTTGCACTAGCAGTGCCTTGTTTCATGTCCATCACTTGGTGTCACCACTGGTGCCCTGAACAAATCTCAACAAATCTCAACAAATCTCAACAATTCATTGATTTCCTGGAGTTGTCATGGGTGAATGGGTATATCCCAACAAACATCAAAAAATTGGACCCCCCCACTACAGCGGAGGCTGTCTCCAGCAGCTCCTGGTCTTCATCGCGATGAAGGCCATGCTCCCTGACCTAGGCGCATGATGCAAAAAGATGATCAGATATCTGAAGTCTTGAAATATCCCATATGGAATATATTCCAAAAAGTATGGATCACAGATATATGGAATATCACTTCAGATATCAATATGTCATATACTGTTACTGATATTCCAAAAGAAATACAGCGCAAATATGCTCACATCTGATCCAAAGGACTAGTCCCAGATTCCGCAATGAGCCTTGGCCGGGCTGAGTGGTCGGGGCCAAGCGATCTCTCCACTGCAGGAAGGCACCAACCGCACACATAAACCTGGAAAGTGCAGCGAAGCGTACGCAGCGTGGCACAAAAAGCACTTGCCCGACCCCTTCACAATGCACCAAGATGTGCCAATATTGTACCAAGCCGCCAAGCCCATGCTCCTCAACACATACTCCTGTGCTGTTATCACTAGCATTCACTAGCTATCACCAAACAATACCAAACGACCAAACGCAACCTGACCCTCTCCAGGCATCCCTGCAATCCATTTAGCCGCCAAATGCGGTGCTGACCCAGTCTTGCCGACAAGGCCTAAGGCCATGCTACCCATGCTGTGAGTTGACCCCCGAATCCCCAGTGGTGCAGGAGATAACCATGAGTTGTGTATTTGTGTGGAAGCTGTGGGGCTTGTGTAGGCATCCTGCGCACGCACTGGTACAGTATCGATCTTCCACGCTAGGGACATAATGCACCGTTGCAATGCTTTGATGATGCTTTGATGATGCTTTGATGTTTTACCTAAAACCCGATTGAGAACCGGGAAAAACGAAACGCGGCCGGTTGCCAGGAAGACCGTGAAGCCAAGTTGATTGTGTGATTGTGAAATCCAACACAGCCGCACAAGCTCCTACAGGTTGTTCCCAAATATCATTTCCAAGTATATGAAGTCCCAAAGAACATCAAAGCTGTCTTTATGAATCTTTATTATGTGTCCATTCCTTCTTTTCCTATCGCAGTTCGGCAATCAGGAATCCCTCAGTCCCAACTCGCCATGAGGATCGATATGGATCGATGAGCTACTGATACTATCTGCGCTATCTGATACTAAGGCCGAGTTGGACTACACCCAGCTGACAATGCCGGTGTGACGACGTGACGATGACGTTGGTTTGGTGTCTGGGTGTCCCTACCGCGCCCGCCAAGGATGTGGCCGTGCCCGAGAAGGCCATGGCTGAGCGGGTGAGGGCACCAATGAATACCAATGATGGGTCAAAACTGACATCCATGTAGGAGCAATCCCCTCAAGCTCTTTACAGATACCTGGTGAATCTCATGGTTGAATATTATACTAACTCAACATTTGAATCGAACGGAAATGTCACTAGCCGTTGGTAGGAATCTATCCGTGCAAGTAGTTGAGCAACCCCGGTAGAAGACGTGGGGCGGCCCCTTCCCTCAGCCTAACATAGCATTCACATCCACCAGCTCATGCAACTTATCGCCAGCCAAGGGTTCCTCAGACAGCAAGCTTGAAATAGCTTGAATGCTGATTCATGGTGTTGATTGAATTGGTACGATGTCCCCATCTCTGGGTCATACCAGTAGATCCAGTAGCAGAAATTGCAGAGCTCCAGTCCAGCTGAGCTAGCACTAAGTTTCCTGGATGTTGCACGTGTACTGCAATCGATGTATTGGAGCTTCTTGAAAACTTCCATGGCAAACATCAGGTTGCGCTTCTGAAACAAAACTTGAATACATGGCGCGTACATGCTTTCAAGTCGCACTTGGATCTACTGCGTAGAGAGTTACTGACCTCAGCAAAGGCTCTACGCAGACTTATATGACTTATTTGTTCTGGTCAGCACATGTCAGTACAGTTCACGAACAGCGTCAACCCGCACAGCTGGGATCGCTACATCAATTGTCGCACAGCCACGCCAAAGACAGTGCTGCCACAGGCCACCTGGAAACTGATGAAACTCTGAACGGATGCTTCAAGGGCCGGGAATGGGCCGGGATCCGCACAAGCATCAACTCTTGTGAAAGGCCAATTGATGGAGATTGTGTCCAATGAACGTGCAAAATGTTAGATATGTTAGGAGAATCGGCTGGGGAAACCAACGTGTATATGTTTTGAACCTGCAACCTCTGCACCCAAACTACTAGCTCTTCAGCCTAGAGCGACCACAAACAGAACCAGTCCAAAATTACGGGGTCATCCAGGATTTGTTCAGTTAAACAAAGATAATTACGCTTGATTGAAAGAACTCTGCTTCATCAAGCCGCCGTTGCACACATGCATGCTTTGCGGCATCTTTTCGCTCAAGTGTCAAGCGTCACAGCGTCAAACGAGTCGAAGGGAAAGTGGTAAGAGCTTTGGGAGGCTTTGCATTGGCCTTCCTTTGCCTCAGCATGCCATCTGTGGCGTAGTTGGCAGAGGGGATTATGGGGAGTGTCTGATGCTGAGATCACTTGGCTCAGGGCTGAGGTATACCATGGTTACCATGCATCAAAATCATTCATGGTCTTCATGGTGAATCATGGTGAATCTAATTCAGCTCATCTACAGTACCGTCAACTACAGTCCTGTGATGATGGTGATGAGGAGGAGGAGGAGGACGGCTACGACAATGACGACACTCTTGAGGTGTTGAAACACGACGAAACCATATTATGAATCGCACGATTTCCATCGATTTCCTCGGCTATGGGCCAGATCCAAAAACTGCCGCACGTCGAAGCCAACACGGCACGAGTCCACCTCAGCCATTGAAGGCATCCTCCAGTCATAGCACAATTGGGAGATATTGGGAATGTCGGACCATACATAGCTAATATAGCTGTTTTGTGCTGTTTTCAATTCCTTTCGTTTGTGGTCATCTTGTGTCAGAAAACCATAGAAATAAATATATATATATATTATATTATATTATATATATATTTCACAAATTCCACAAATACTGTTTGACCATCTTGACTCTGCTTTCCAAGTGACATCAGCCCTACTCAAATGGTGCAACTCTGGTTGGGGTGCAGTCATCAAGGTGGGACACCTGCAAGCAGAATTCTCGGATGGGAAAAATCAACAAACGCTTGTAGACAGATTGCAAGATGAACCAGTGTCTCATGAATTCATTATGTTGAATATGCATGGATTACTGCCAGACGTGAGCGGACTCTGAAAAATGTTCGGTTAGAGCGATTTGGCTGATTTCTTTGTTCGAGTAGGTACAGTAGGAGCTCGCGATATCGATTGAGCTGGGCAGAAGAACTTTCCTGCCCTATTGCGTTTCGTTTGCTGAGGATTTTGAGGATGTTTCTACCAACCCGGGTAACCCGATGACGTTCCAACTCAATCCATACACATTCCACCATCACCCCACACCATATCATCATATATCATCCATATCCGATCTGCCTTCCTGTCAGCTCCCGCATGATGGTGCTGCCAGCTGTCGGGGTTTCAATGATGAACAACTTCTCAAGCACCTGGCAAGGATGCTGGGGACCTTGAAGAAATGGCTTCATGCCCTGCGCACTGGTCACTGGCTGTGGCTTCATGGTTTTGTGGAGGTCCCGAATTGTATGGATACAAAAATGATGAAAAATGATCGCTTTATTATTATTGGTGGTGTGGTATGGTGTTGTTGTTGTTGTTGTTGTTGTCGTCGTCGTCGTTGTTGTTGTTGTTACCATTATTATTACTATTACTGTATTACTATTATTACAAAACATTATTATTATTGCATATTATTACATATTATTACATATTATTACTCTAATTATATTACTATTATCACATACAATCACATACATATATTTATATATCTATATATTAACGATTGTTAACGTATATGTATGAGTTATATCACATCACCGTCCCTTAAAAATCCTCAGTTCCTGTAGCGCAAACCACACTGTCCAAAGCCAAGGCTATACATTCCACTGATTCCGCCGAGCCTCATTGTTCTGTGGCGATGCTTCCAAGTGGCAAAACTTGGAAATCATCCCTCCATGGCCCAGCAGCGCTACAACCACCTCAGGCGCCTCGATGTCAACGTCTTATGACTTGCAGCAGGGTCCACATGGGTCCACCTAGAATTTTAAGACATATTAAGTCAACGTTAAGACATGTTAAGACTGTCAGGCAGAAGGTTCAGAGCATTTTCGAGACCAGAAACTGTAGAGTTCAAACATTTGCAACAACGGAGGTCTTTTCTACTCTGTAGATGTTCATAGGCCCTTCCAGGTCCCTCAGCCTCATATCCTGCAAAACATCACTGGCACCTCCATAGCATCGTATTCCATTCGCTTGAAGCTCGGCCCCTCACCTTGGCACGACCCGGGTCGACCCCTAGGAGTGCAATGTGGAAGTTCCTGTGGAAGGTTTCTGCAAAAAGAAAGAAGATTTCCTGGTTTCCTGAAAAGGTCCTCATGATTTGCTCCTCTTGACTCTCTTGACTGGAATTCCGGATCGGATCTCTTCCTGGTAATTAGAGTGTAATTAGTTCATATTGGTTCCAGTTGTTCCCGCCCAAAGGGCGAGAATGCCAGACCAAATAGAAATTGGCCTATGCAGAAGCACCCAAATGTGCTGAGAAGCGATAGCTTCCACCAGGCCAATTTAGCTTGGAGAAGGAAGTGGCAGAGGGATCCTGAAGCAGGAAACGATGCGAAACGTGAGACTCGGGTGAGACTAGAGGTCAAGATAAATCAGGTGGGATGTTTGTGCAGGCGAGATTGGCTTGCCTGCAAAAAGAAGTGGAAACGATGCAAACGATGCGCCTGCTGCATGAAAGCAGTTTCTAAGGTGGGAAAGTTGGCAGACCTGCCTCCAACAGCGAGTGCAACAAAGTGGCTGGAAGGCTCTCCTGAGATCTGCTGATGACTTCTAAACAAGGGCCAATTCGACTCACGACACCACCTCAGCAATCCCCAACATCCGAAAATTACTGTATGATATAACATTCTTACAGATCCTAGTTTGACATATCTCGGACTTCCATAGTTCACACATATCTGGGACTTCCATGGTTGATACATAGTGAGTTGCAGTACCTTTCACACCAACTCAAGCTGCGATGCTCCAGATCAAATATTGGCAACTTCTGTCCAAATCCAAGTTTCCAGCTGCTCTGTTTCTGCAATGCGAAGAGAAGGAAGCAGTAGTAGGGCGAGAAAGGCCTTGAACTTTGTGAACCTCAAAGGCGACTCTTGAATCTTGGACAGATTTGTAGTAGACTTAGTAGACAATGGAATTGAATGGACATTCTGTGGATTTCTGTGGTCGGCTGGAACACGTGCCCGAGAAAAAGAAAGCACAAACGCTTGATAGATCCTCACCATTATCGCAGGAGCGGTCGAATAACAGGACACCACGATTTTGTTTTCCCTGGCAAGGAGCTGCTGCTCCAAACGTGGCCAATCCTGGAAGCGTTCCAATTGCACGAACTTCAAGTACTGTGCTAAGAGCTCCTGCCGACAGGTGAAATGATCGGCATTGCTCCAATGTGCCAACATCCTTTTAACTCGGTGATAGCTTTCCTTGCGATGCAAAGACTTTCTATGCAGTAGAACGGAGAGCAACCAACGGCTTGATGTACAATAGTGAAGGGACATTCAGGTTAGCTTAGCACCCAACATAAGCTCATGAATGTTCATCACAAACCAAACTACTGGTCCTAATGGCGCTAATCATATGGTGACCTCATCGATTGACTGAGGCCTTGAAGCACTTGTCAGCTTAGAAAGGTATATCGATAAATATATATTTATATATATAATATGTAATGTAGTGACCCCCACCGGTTATGTATCTTCCAATTCAAATCTGTTCCAGTCCACGTTTCTACGCCTCATCGCACCATGATTTTTGTGCACATCATGCCGATTAAGATATGTGCAAATAGTTCTCTTGAAATGTCCTGCACAGTTCCTCCTGGCCTTTGAAAGGCCAGTAGCATTACAACAGCAAAATAACCAGCCCGGAAGAAAACGGACAAACAACATCAAACAACATACATTGACTATAATATTGAGATAAGATATATTGAGAAAATATGAGATTATCCTCCGTATGCTAAACTGCCCTGTGGCACCGTCCTTTTGCAACGGCAGGGGAGCTGCAAAGTTGTCTGCCTGGACAGCGTTGCCAGAGTCATATGGACTGCTTCCGACTGGCACAATGGATGCAGACCAATAGTAGATACATGTAGATACAGTACGCCTTCTTACCAGTACTTCACTCCGAAACACAGTACACATGGAACAGGGCCTCGCTTCAAGAAGAGCTCCCTTCACAATCGTACGTGTACACACGTGTACCAGGGAATTTCCATAAGTCATTGAGAAGATGACAGTTGGGATACATTTAAATAAGTGCATGCCACCTCTAAAACAAAATCCGGAATTTGTCCTGCAATGGCTGCTTGCTCTTGCAGCGCTCCGCTACAAAAGGTACCGGCATCACAGTCCTCACTGGAATCAGATCTGAAATTCCAGTTGGTCAACCAGGAAATGTCAGTCTTCCACGGGACTATCTCATGGAAACCCACTAAAGAACCTTCCCAGCTGCTGTACATTGCTGTACTGTACCGCCTAGAAGTCCTTTCGTGTCTGTGATGTAGTGTGTCGCGATGCAAAGGCCAACATGCAACAATCGTGACTGTCAAGATGGGCAGCCAGGCAATTTCAAGATGCTGGAGCTGTACGTGTGTGGTGGGTTTGCTGCAGTTTGGAGTTTATCATCATAAATCATATAGGTAATATTAATTCTTAATCACTACTAATAATTTTATTGTTGCTTCAAAGCAAGCAAGCAACGCACATGGAACAACTTCCCTCACGCCAAGAGTCAAATTTGTGGCCAGGACAGAACAGCTCGATCCGCCATCAACACATGGTGCCACAAACATGTGGTAAGCTGTCCTGCAAGCGGAAGGTGGTAGTTTAGCTGAATGGGATTGTCCATTTAGTCCAGGACTATACAATACTATACTATTATACTATACTATACACCTAAAGTTCCTAAAGCAGTCCCAATACTGACATTGTTCTGTCAGGCTGCTGAATAGCACGTAGGAGCGTGCTAGAAGCGATCAAATGCAATCCTGAGCTGCACCAGAGAGAAAAACCAGGACGGACCGTTGAAAAAGAAACTCAACATAAAATAACATAGATATGAAGTCTCCTCCTCCTCCTCCTCCTCCTCCTCCGGCGGCTACAGCCGTAGATGCTTTGTCTGGATCCTCTATGTCTATCTGATTCTGTCTGTATCTGTTTGAATGGCTCCTCGTTCTACTACTACACTGTTACTACACATAGTCATCATGTTTGGTAGGGGTCATTGTTTCCGTCCAAGGCTCGCATTCCATGTTTGGACAAGAAGTGAAGCAATGCTTGACCGGCCTTCCGGCTGACAAGCGCAGCAAGCTGACATGTTTGATATGGTTTGATTGCAAGCTGTTTTGGTATCATACAGTAGATACTCAATAGATGATCTTGATTGTGTGCTCAATGTCTTTCTTCTAATTCTGCTACAATGACACTGCTTCTCTCCCCCAAACCAACCACAAAAAGTGTAATTTTCCGCCCGTATATATATATTTACCATATTTACTATATTTCAAATATATTTCATGGGCTGCACTATCGCTTGGATGTTTGAAGGCTTTCATGGCTGTGCAGCTCCATGACATGAGCCAAAGAAACAACATGAAGTAACATGAAACAACAATATTGTTCGGCCGAAACAAAGCCAGTGGAACCCACAGCACACAGCAAAGTGGGATGATGGCAACATGGCCACTGTACCAAAAAAAACACACCAAAGAGATTCTTTGCTACAAACGGTCGACTCTAGTTTGATGTCCTACAAAGCGATCAACATCTAGCAGAAAAACTGTGGCACCTCTTCAGACTGTCGCTTTGAACAATCTGTCAGCAATGGATCCAGCAGAAGATGGTGAAGCTTTGTCACCTTGAGGAAGTTTACAGACTTTGGGATCTGATGTGCTGGTATTCATATGTCGCAGTATCCTGGTGGTGCAAGTGTTCCTAGCAAGTGGAAGTTTTGAGGCTTTGGACAAACAGGCGGAGCGTTGGATACTCTGCAATAATTCCCTATAATTCCATATAATTCCAATATCATCCAATACCCTCTGGTAAACTAACATAGCTATTGAAAATGGCCCATTTATAGTTGATTTACCCATTAAAAATGGTGATTTTCAATAGCTATGTTAAATTACCAGAGGGTATCTCATTTCAGGATAATTCCGGCCATTGAAGTTGCATCCATACAGGTACAACAAGTAGAAGCCTACAGGTACCCACTGCACAGCTGTCCCAGAAATAGCAAACACCAATAACAGAGACGGCAACAACAGGAACTGCTATGATCTACAAAAAGGTCTGTGTGCACCATCAATCATCAATGGTGCGATTTTTCCCTCTTGTTGGTACCACCCCATTTCCAGCAGGAACAAAACATAACAAAACCATCCATCCAAGGAACAAATCTCTGAGAATCTGCTTGAAGGACCTGCTGAAACTTCGCCGAGGCAAACAAGTTGAACCGTCTGTAACCGTCTCTGACTACCACTGCGACGTGCACCCTGCGCAGCCTCCACAGTGCAGTCTTTGCCCTCTGGAGGTCCTGAGGGTTCGCAGCAACTTGTTTTTGAGATGAAATTTGGGAACTCCCAGAGGGCGAGAAGAACTTGCATCAGTTTCAAAGAAATTTGTTGAATGAATTGTATATTTATATACATACGTGACATATATGACATATATAATCCGTTTATGACGATGATTCTGCTATGTTCGGTGACTTGGCCTTCACGTTTCGAAACTGTTGCATGGAACATGTCTTCATCACATGCTCCGTGTCGCTGATAGGAATGGCATGGGACGAACAACAGCGCACCAATTTTGTCCGGGCTTCTTGGTTGGAGGCCATAGTTTTTCTCAAGGCGGCATTGCTCCCCTGCAGGCCAGGTGTAGTTGGGCCTTGCTAGAGCAGGGAATTGAGAAAGAAATAAACCGCCATTGGATATTGATGTGTTCCAGTATCTAATGGCAATCTTTATGGCAGTGGGTTAGTTCGTGAAACAGTTTCCACTTTGGCCTATCCAGATCCCAACCACGAGAATCAGCGTTTTTGCATCCGAGTTGCAGGGCATGCCTTGGCAAACACGGTGACACCAACAGCTTGGGGCATACGTGTCTTCAAAACGTCCCAAACCGGACTCAATATCATAAACTTGAGGTTCCCAACATTGATAAATTCATATATACATATTTATAATATATATATATATACATAATTTATATTCAGAATCTATGTATGTCTGATTGCAAGGTGAGAGGGCAAAAATTAAGGAATCCTGTGTGCAAGAATGAAGCTGCCAACTTTAACAAAATGTTACAGTACAACCTTGCCGTACCACATACAGTAGTTTCTCGATTAGTGTAATCAGCTTGTGCATATACACTTGCACGTGAAACTTTCTGTATCTGAAATTCAGAGATAAGATCATATGCTGCCGCCTTGAAACTACTGCAAGGAAAAACGAACTGCAATCTATCAGACCATCTGTACATATCTGCATAGACAACAGAGCTGAGTGCTGATCTTCGACTTGAACAGGCCCTTTTTGGGATTCTTCCCCAAATCATGCAATCCTTTGCAAAAAAGATGCAAAGCAGCTTCCAACTCAGGCATCAACTCCTGAACGGTGATGCATTCCCAAAATTGGATTCAAGGGTAATGAAAGGGCATGTCCTGCCATCTACAGTAGCCGACCTGTGCAGAAAAACAAATTATATATCGATCATGAATTGGCAATGATGATGACGATAACGATGACGATGATGACGATGATGACGAGGATGAGGATGACGAGGATGAGGATGACGAGGATGAGGATGACGAGGATGAGGATGACGAGGATGAGGATGAGGATGACGAGGATGAGGATGACGAGGATGAGGATGAGGATGACGATGACGATGACGATGAGGATGAGGATGACGATGACGATGACGATGACGATGAGGATGACGATGAGGATGACGATGAGGATGACGACGACGATGACGATAACGATGACGATGATGACGAGGATGAGGATGACGAGGATGAGGATGACGAGGATGAGGATGACGAGGATGAGGGTGAGGATGACGAGGATGAGGATGACGAGGATGAGGATGACAAGGATGAGGATGACGAGGATGAGGGTGACGAGGATGAGGATGACGAGGATGAGGATGAGGATGACGATGACGATGAGGATGAGGATGACGATGACGATGAGGATGAGGATGAGGATGAGGATGATGATGATGATGATGATGAGGATGATGATGATGATGATGATGATGATGATGATTGATGATTGATGATTGATGATTGATGATTGATGATTGATGATTGATGATGATGATGATGATGATGATGATGATGATGATGATGATGATGATGATGATGATGATGATTGATGATTGATGATTGGTGATTGATGATTGATGATTGATGATGATGATGATGATGATGATGATGATGATGATGATGATGATGATGATGATGATGATGATGATGATGATGATTGATGATTGATGATTGATGATGATGATGATGATGGTGATGATGATGATGATGATGATGATGATGATGATGATGATGATGATGATGATGATGATGATGATGATGATGATGATGATGATGATGATGATGATGGTGATGATGATGTTGGTGATCAAGAGTGGTGATCAAGAGTGGTGATCAAGAGTGGTGATCAAGAGTGGTGATCAAGAGTGGTGATCAAGAGTGGTGATCAAGAGTGGTGATTAAGATTGGTCGAAAATGGTGATGCTGTCGATCAATAGGAGCAACAGCCACTCCTCTACATCCTTGGCACCCGCTCCCACTGCGCAGGCATTGAGTATGTTGGCGCAGCTCAGTCCATGCCGAATCCAAAGCAGGCGAACCCGAAGTTGAAACGGGGGCAGTCCGGTGGTAGCACCACTTACAGCATCTGCACCTAGGATGGGCAAAGCCCACCAAATTCTTATTGGTGATCCGAGAAAGTCTGCTTTCTCTTTCTCCAAACAGAAACAGAAAATATACGAAAGTCAATATCCTGACATCCCCAAACAAAAACAGACGTGGTTGACGTGGCTGGACCGGACTGAAAGATTGCCAGGTGACGTCCACACCCAAATTTGCCAGCGTGTTAAACGGCAAAAACAGCACAAACAGCAGCAAGGATGTCTTTCTGGGAGCTTTTGGGAACAGTTCGGGCTGCCTTCCGTTGACCTCACTTTATCAGCCCAGACCTTCTACAACTGTCTGGACCATGCGGATGGCGCCCAGCGAGACAGCCAGCGTCAACGCCATCCGCCATGGTGAAGAAATTGCACCAGCACGCGGCAGCAGTGCAAGGTGCATGGAGAGGAGACTAATTCCAATGTACGAGCTGCAGCATTTTGTCCCGACCATTTACATTTGATGTCATTTATTGAATTTGCTTGTCTCACCGTATATTGGGATACCCTGATATCCCTTCGATTCTCTGGAGAGCAGTGTGATGCAATGTGTCTGAACGAGACTGCCAGCGTGTCCCTGTAAGTTCTGGTGCATGTAATTGAATCGAAGATGAAGGAAAGAGCGGAGCAAGCGAGGTGTGCGATTCTGTCTCTATCCCAAGCTCGAGCCAGGGGCCAAGTCATGTTTTGGATGTCTAGTGAAGATTTGGGCAACACACAGGCCTTTTGGGAACTTGCAACTTCAAACAACAACACCAGCCGGTGGAGCTTGCGAGTTGAACCTTGACTAATTCTGAGTTGTTGAAAATCTTGGCATTGAATTTCATGTTCGTTCCACCAAGTGGCGGACTGCACACATACATTCCTTATAGTGGCCTTATAATCCTTTCCAAGTTGCAACGGCATCTTTTTTATCTTATGTCGCTGTTTCACAATGAAAGCTGTCTCCATGCGCGACTCACGCAGCATCACTTTGCAGCACCAGGAATACCACGAACATTTCAAATCCTGAGGGCAACGCAGAGCACTCCAACCGCTCCGGCAAGCAACGGAGCTTGTTCAATCACTCTCTGAAACATGAGATTCATTCTAAAAGCAGTGCATCACAATGAAAAGCCTCTTGAGCCACAGCCTGAGACCATTACTCTGCCCGACCATGCCATATGAATCAGAAAATATCAAAAGTGATGCTTTCCTTCAGCCAAGCAGCGGTCATTAGTGTCGGTCATCAAGTCCGCCGCTCTCGCTGCAGCTGCGGCTCCCATCATCCTAAGGGATTGCGAAATGAGGACATCAAAATGATACCGTATAATAAAGGATAATCCTAGTACAACACGGGGTCGAATGCAATGAACATGTTTGCCTTCTGGATTCGGCAGGCTGCAGAATTGCTTGGCACATGATTTTTTATAATTTTCTGACTGTGACTGGCTGTACTTCATCCATGTCTCGTCGTCTCTGCGATAGGTTCCGCGACCTGCTCGAGTGGAACACCGGCTGTCTTTGTCACAACATCTGCCGAACAATGGATGTGATGAGGTTGATCAGTTACAGGATGTTACAGGTCCTTTGGCTTCGACATCTTCGACGGTGACTAGCAACAAATTTGACCAGAACATTGATTGTATTTGAAAGAACCTTGCATAGTATGAAGTACCTCAACTTGCCTGTACTGAAGTGAAAGCAAAGTTTCAAATAATTCAAGTTGCACAGGCCCGTATTCTAGATAAATACGAAGTCGGAACAGTTGGGAAGAACTGCAGTGTTTCAATCATTGAGGATACCTTGCAGTATTCCATTATCAACTCGCTGGGGTAAGGCGTCATCTTGAGCCTCTCTAGTCCAAAATATGTCCAAACAGCTGACATCAAACCTCCTCCCCGGAAGTGTGCAAGGGACCTCCACGGCCGCGATCGATGGTTGAGCCAGCCCGAGCTTCAATGGAACGAATGAAGGCCATCACGAGAGCAGAGTAGTCAGACTCGCCCTCAAGGGCCGTGAGGGTTTTCTCGTGCCATCTGCCATGGATTCCTTTTATTTTCGAGTTGACATTCAGCTAGATTCTCATATCAAGAGTTACTTATGTGCAAAGGCTACTTGCTATGCAAATGTGATCCAGTATTGCAACGGCCTGTTACAAGTTCATGGTACACCGGCCCTTTTGGGACTGTTTGATATAGATCATAGATGATAGCCATTATCACTAGAATGTGAATCATCCCGTTGCACTCTGCACCTCCCTTCGTGGCCGGAAGTCTGCCAGGACAGTATTTTGAACCTTGGCGGTTGCAGGCCGGTTTCGCGCGGTTGCGCCTTTGTGTTCCTACCAAGGTGTTGGTACGTGTTTGAACACCAGAGCACGGAGCCAAGTGAAGAAAAACGACAACGCAAAACCAACGAAAGAAGCATCTGTGAAAATGGGTGCATCAAAGGGATATCAAATGAAATTCCCACAAGGGTCAACAAAAAGTCCCCACAAGCCCTCTGGCACCAAAAGATCAAGCCGGGTGTTGCTCCCCGCGTAGCCGCGTAGCCAATGTGTTCCCATGTGTTCCCAGTTGCTGCCAAGTGGCCCCTGAGCTAGTTCGTTCCAGAACTGCAAAGGCGCGGTCATCCATTGGATAACCTGACTTTTGGGGAGCGGTGCAGCCTATGGCACGATCAGTAGGAATACAGTAGGAATATGATGGAATATGTAATATGTAGGAATAATAGGAAAACGATGGATAACTGCAAACTGTGGTTCTACTTGCCAAGTGGTACAAGCTCAGAACTGAGAGTGAAGATCAGGGACACGGATTATTGCTGATGGAGTAGTAAGGGTCAATGGATAGCAACAGCAACAAGCACAACCACAACACAGCCCAACTGTCCCCATCATCATTGTCGTCGTCATCAGCATCATCACAATCACTAGCTACACCATCACAGGTCCGGCCACCATGAAGAAGATATTGGCGGCATTTTTCTGCCAAGCAACGCTCTCTGAAATCAGCAAGTGAATTTGCAGCACCTGTGAGTTCAGTTCAGTCAAAGCGAAATGGATTTTGAGCTGCAAAGGGTGCAAAAGTTACTAAGTTTGATTCTAAATTTGCCATCAATGCTCCGTCGTTCCAGATCCTTCAAGAAGACTGTGCCCTTGCTGCCAGCATCCCCGGCTGGTCTCCCAGTGTCCAGTGTCACTGGGACGGCGCACGCGGCTGCAGCTGCGCCTGTGAATGGCGGTGCATCACCTCAATACAAAGCCACAACATGTCCATCCATCATCTAAACCAATACTAAACCAATCTAAATCATTGCACAATGTCAGCAAGGTGTGCTCACTAAGTCTTGAATTCAAATCTAAGGCTGGCATTAATCCAGGATATCTTCATAAGCAAACTCAATCGGTATAGATGGCATAGATACTTGCAGCATCGGGAATGGCTCCTGCTTCCACAACCGTTTCTTTGAGCAGCTTCAAAGCTGTGACGGCCCTCACATCCGATATCATCCGATACAACCACTTTCAGCTTGGATTCCCGACAGCGCGAACAAAGCTGGCCACCAGCGCAGAGTAATCACTCTCGCCTTTGAGATTTCAGCAGACATCAATGTGCCCCACTGACGCTTACGCGTCCATGGCTTATTCCATGGTCCCCAGGTGACACTTTTCGGAAGGTCAAGAAGCTTGGAGAAATGACACAGTCTCTGCAGGCATCAAACCCTTTGATATTTAATTTGCTCTTTCATCAAACCACCGCCTTGGATACGCTTGCAAAGTATAAATCAAATCAAAAGAATGTAAAAATTGCTGATACATGCTGATACCAGGATGCCTTCGCGCTTTGGTCTGAACTGGTTCAACACAGACTTCTGAACGGGTCCCGGCACACTGGTGAGGACCTCATCCCAAGCAATGGGTTCATGCTCCAACACCAAGCGAATTACGGTAATTCAAATTGCACAAATGCAGAAGAACCGCTTCCCCAGGTTAAATAAAGATGTGATATGTATGTAGATATTGAATGATATTGAATAGAAATAATATAGATAAATAAAGATGAATATTAGAGATATGATGAGTATATATATATACAGTAATATAACATAATATAATATAATATAATATAATATATTATAATATCACATAAAATAAATATAATATAATATAATATAATACAATATAATATAATATAATATTATATTATAAATTTCAATATAATATAATATAATATAATATAATGTATATATATGATATAATATATAATATATAATATGTAATAATATATAGTATAGAATATAAAATATTACAGCATATAATATATAATATAATATATATTTAAAAAAAAATAATGTATAATATATAATATATAATATATGATATATAATATTATAATATTATAATATTATAATATATAATATTATAATATATAATATTATATATCATATATTATATATTATATATTATATATTATATAATATATCGTGTTATACTATATAATATATGATAAACTATTATAATATAATAAAATATATGATATATAATATTATAACATATAATATAGTATAGTATATATAGTATATAAAATAGAATAATATTAAAAAAAAACATATACATTATATAGGTATCGTTCAAAGCTGTGGTTTCCATTCGCTTCCCATGGGATGCCCGACGCCATAGGCCCGGGAGTCGATGGGATACCGATCCCTGAAGTCGTCCAGCTCGCGTTGTGTAGGACCCTCGTCCGTCCTGTGTACAGCTGAAATCAATCTGGATGATCCAGTAAACACATCTAAACACATCTAAACAGAATTAGTGACGCATTAGACGCTATTAATGCCATTTAAACACAATTAATACGTATACTTCATCTAAACACATCTAAACACATCTAAACACATCTAAACACAATCTAAACACACATCTAAACACATCTAAACACAATCTAAACACACATCTAAACACATCTAAACAGTCTAAACACATTGTGACATTATATTATTATGAATAATTAATTGTGAAGCATGGTTCAACACACTACACTGGCTACTGAATCTTCCGAAAGTATCACTTTTGCTTAGCCACCCATCTGGGCATGAAAAAGACCCAACCTAAACCTTCATGGCGCTCTCACGCGCACTTGCAAGCATCCTGGAATCCTGCCGTTGCACTAGCTCTGTATGCTAAATTGGAGCATCCTGTCAGGCTTTTTGGCTTCATGCGAAAGAGTCATGGAAATGACTTGAGAGCAGGCGGAGGCGGACGAAAGGTAGTGTAGTGGGAGAGGAGTGGTGTCAAAATGCTGCGCCCCTAAGGTGATACACCAAAAACGTTTTTGCGCAGTCTAAGATGATTTTATCCAGAGCATGACTGCATGATACGGTGTCTTGTGTAGCGTGAAATGATGCACGAAAAGGGGTTTATTTAAAACCCCTTTTTAAGACCCCTTGCAGCAACTGTTATTGAGGCTGAAGCAAACCAATTATGCTGGACTACAGGGACATCTCCCTCATGGAGAGTGTGCCTCTACTGTGGAGGACCGTGACCGCGTCACCCGTGGGAATTGAACCCATGACCATTCCCCCCTTATAATTGATATCTCATACATAACGTCGAGAATTCTACGTTTTCCACGGGCTGGCCCCCCAATACCCCCTATGATTGTGCTGAAGCACGGAGAACTCAGGTAGCTGACGCTACCTTTCGTGATATGAAATGATTATTATATACTTGATGCTGTACTATATCTTGATACTACTTGCGTCACCTTGCATCCTCGACTGCAGATGATTCCCGCTTCCCCAGTGCACTGGGACCACAACCTGCTGGTTTTCAGCCGGAGCGGAGTGCGCGATCGGCTTTGGCTTCGACCCGATCGTTTGTACGCTGCCCTTGGGCTGCGAACCAGCTTGCAATGGCCCATGACTGGTTTGCATACGTTTTGAATCGTTTTGACCTGATCCCTTCCAAAACGGCCTGCCCATTCGCCATCGAAGTACTGGATGTACTGAATCGTTTTTGCAAGTTCTTTCATCAATTGCATTGAAGTGTTCATCCAAATGTACTCCAAATATGTCAAGACCGTGTTCAACCTTGTGACGCACTGCTGCCCCAGAAAGGGAAGCAGTCAAGCGGCAGATGGACTTCTCGTTTTCTCTCGCTGGACTCCTGGCACTTGACTGGGCAAATTTTCCATCCAACGACGTGGCACGGAGAGAATCGTTGTGTAACACGTTGGATTTCTTCGCAAAATTTGAAACCCCCATCAGCTGGCAGCTGTTCAGGGAATAACAAACAATAACAAACATATATATCGTATTTAGGCAATTCCAGTCAAATGCTGAACTCAGAATCTCGCCTCTCAAGCATTCTGCGCCTGCCTATTGTCGAACATTTTGGCAAACCAAGGTGGTCCTTTCAATATAAGATCAACAACATCCTGGCACATGTCCCTCTCCTCACTGTGGCTGCTACGACGATCTGGCATTGCGTCCAGAAACGTTTGGTCCGCGGCAGTGCCCGGATGATGATATATGACAAACCATTACATTGACCACATATGCTGAAGAGACCGTAAGAGTTTCGTGATGTTTCATGCATGTCATCGCTCATAATTCTTGTCATGATTGGCTTCTCATTTTGCTGGGCAAATTGGGGTGCAAAAACTTGGAGGATCTTGGTCAACTGATCCGCTATGATCCGCTCCATTCCAGTCGTCTTTTCAGGGCACCTCGTCGTTCACCTCCAGAGCGGCCATTCAGCTTTTGCGTCCTCGTCTCCTCGTCGCGGCTTACTTCACAGCCGAGCCCATCGTTTCGATAGTTGCAGTCACTGCAATAGCCATTAAAGGTGATGGTGACTCAACCACATTGCTATAATATATATATATATAATTATATATATATAATTATATATATATAATTATATATATATATTGCTCAAACAGGCAGTGGGATCAGTCAAATCATGATAACGATGAAATTGATGAGCCTCAAACCTCAAAGGATGTCACGAATCAGTCGATGTAGATATATTGGTGTTGGATAGATTTGGGCATGTCAATTAGATATGTTCAACCCCCAGGACTTGATCATCTAGAAACCAATGGATAATAAATGAGTCGTCATCAATAAGGTGATCAAGGCCATAGATGGCCATAGATGGCCGTAGCAGTGGCAAACATGGTAATATTCTCGAGGTGCAAGCGGAGGAGAAGATAGAATCATGACATGTCGTGAAACATAATGAACGAATACAGTAATCAATGGCTGACAATTTTGACAATGGAAATGTGTTCTTTTTTTGCATATCGTCCATAGGCTTCTCGAATGCCATGCACCAGGACGGTGCCCATCTGAGCATCCATGAAGGGGGGATCTTAGTGCCAACTTTGCCAAACAGTTCCTAGAAAGTTTTCATTCGGGTTGCCAGATCTCCCATTTTAACAACCATTGCTAGGATTCTCCCCGATCTGAAGGTGGGGTTTAGAATCTAGATCTGAGATGTCACCACACAACTAAGATATCATGATTGGCTTCAAGATGACACTTTGATTCGTGCGCATCCCAGCTTCTTGTTCATTGCTACGCCCATTGGATTCATTGGATGGGACGTTATCACAGTTATGGCCTAGGACGTTTGCTATGGCCATCTATGGCCTATGATGCTTATGTGATCCATTGTGATCCCATCGAAAAACAAACCCTCTGAAAGGCTGGTCGAATACAAAAGAGGCTCCTTTTGCTCCTTCCGCCGGCTCCGTCGGTAATCGAGGCTACCTGACCACGAGGATTCCGAGAAGGATGAAAAAAGGCTGTCCTCATATGCCTGACCTGTAGGTTGTACAAGCATCAGATATCTCCCATGAGTTCAGGAAAATAGTTTGCAGAAGATTATCAAAAAATATCAAACATATTCAAAAAATCAGGCTTCCTCGTGACCCCTTGCCGAGATGTAAAGGGAGATGTGCATTCTGAGGCATCGGCTATCCTCACCTAGTGCCGGACAATCACACCCAACGTGCAAGGCATTGCAAGGTGGCGTGGAAAACCAAAGTTCTGAGATGTTCTGAGTCTCCATTGACACAATGCCTCATGATGCATTGTTAGCCTCACAACTAGAAAACTCATGAAAAGTCCGAGTCACTGCAAGCAGGTCTTCGATCTTTCTTGACCTCCCTGTCTTTCACCTCGGGAAAAGGATGCAACATGCATCGCTTGGATATTGTTGGATAATCCCTGCGCACTCCCTTCTCTGCGCTGATAGACACAACAAGAACAGCACTCTTGACATAATCAACAAACAAAAGCTTCAGAATGCTTCAGATTGCTTCATCAAAAATGGTGTCAGTCTATTCTGGATTTAGAGCTATCAGCTGGGTGGATCGGGAAGAACCAATTAAAGAAACCGACCTCAACTCGCTCAAGGCCCAAGGCCCAAGTCGCCTTCTTAGCCTTCGGAGGCTCCTCCGAGCTGGAGACCATCTGCTTGGCTTTCGCGATGGCCTATGGCAGTATGGCTGTGGTGTGGATCAGCGTGGAAGGTTGTATATAAGCGATATATAAGCTATATACAGTAGTTATGCGGTTATGTGTGTCTAATCTATATACTAGTTGTATCGGAACTTGTGGTGATCATCACCGATCCATGTAGGAACCAGAAGAAATGCATGGGTAAAAGCATGAGGAATGTCTTGCATCTTGACTTGTGTGAAGGAATGAGTGTAATTAATTGGCGTTGGTGATCTTTGGTGGATGTTTGGCTAACGCGAGAGATACGAAGAAATGCCTTCAAACATGCAATCTAGAAAAAATTGGAAGTCACAACTGCTTGATGGACCAATTCCACAGTTGGACAATTTCTCACACTGCTGCATACATCCTTGCAGATGGTGAACCCATCGCAGTTGATCCGGCCTTCTGGTGGGCACGGTCTATCTTCTTCTGAGCCTCAGTCTTCCAATGAAGATTTGATGCGACAAAGGCCCCTCTCTTTGACGAACATGGTTGAATGCTCCACAAACCACAAGTAAGATCAGCCGCGTACTGCTCAATTTCCATCCCAATGCTCATAACTCTGATCATGGATCAATTACACTCCGATTCAACAGCCATTCCGTTTCCATGTGTATGGTAAAGCCAGGCGGACACTTTGAGTCCCAGGGTCCAACATGACCTGCTTCCGCCTTTGTCGCAAGGCTCTCTCGGCCTCCTCGATCAGCCGTTCGCGCTCCTCGAAGCAGCCAGCTGTCGGTGTCCAAGGATGTCAAGGGATGTGAAGGGCTGAGGAAGTTGAGGCCACGCTAGGAATCTGGAATCAACAGAAAATGCTAAGATTGCTCAAACCCGACAAATGTTCAGGTGCCTTGCTCCTTGCTTCGTGACTCACCGTCGTAACCCCCCGCGGTGACCACGCCTGTCGAGCATCCCTCTCTAGCTCCATCTTGCGAACCTTCGCCGCCTGCATGGGATTGACGTGCTCCAGCACAGGATTCGAAGGGGCTTCAAAGCAGGCCTGCGAAACTCCTTGCAGACAATTCTTGGTGAGTGTTACCTCCCAATCATTTTGGTGAACTTTGATGGGGGCTTGACGAACCGGGTAGAGTCAAGCAGCCTCTTCTTGAGTTTGTCTTTCATCTTCTATCTTCTGTTCCATTTCGGACTGCAACCTTCAGGGTCCACACAGCAGTCAATGAAGGACACAATAATTGGCTTTGATTTTTTTTGCATGGAGATTGATGATGTCAAGGAGTTACAGGCCAAACACTAGTCACTAGACTCTGAACTTTGAATTCGACCTGCAGTGGATGTTTCATCTATGCTTTACCACGTTTCAAAAAGAGCGCATCAAAAGCGTTGATGTGTTCTATAAAGAGGCAACAAGTCAAGATCTCTATGAGAGATTATAATGATCATAATTTTCGTTATAATCAGATATAATAAGCTTTTCATAATGTAAGTTTGCATTTGCTTGCAGTCCAACAATGGGCACAAAGAAAAGAGAAGTTCAGCTGGAGTCTTCGGCAGCAATCCAAACATCAAAGAGGTGAACTACTGAAGGTCCATGATTTTCGGTGAGTATCATTATGTATAACCATGTATAACCTATGATGAATTATGATGGCGTATAGAATTGTATACATCTATATATATATATACACCTATACACCATATAATATAAATCCATATAATTAATATATTACAAATTATTACCATATATATATACATTATATATATATACTACAAGTATGTGATGATTTTCAGTACCATCCGTGGATGCTTGGGCGGTGCCTTCGCTCCATGTCCTTCAGCTTCTGCTCCATTTCGCGCTCGAAGCGATCGCGGGCGTTGGACACCGCCTCCTCCACCTCGCGGGCCATCGCCTTGGACCATCGTCCGCCCATCTGAGCAACAACGCTGGCAGCTGGCAGCATATCTGACATTGGAAATCTTCAGAAAATGATAGAGAATATCACAGAATATCTGGAAAATTCATAGGCAACATATTGGCATAGTCAGCATAGTCATATAGATGGACCTTCAGATGAAGTTTTGGCAATGGAACCACTCTGACACTGCGCCGACTGCGCTGACTGCGCAGTCAGCGCACCGACTGCGCCGAGCATCATCCTCCGCCTTTCCCACCTTGAGCCTCTCCTCATCCCGCGCATCGGCCTCGACCCGAGTCAGCTCCTCCTGGGTCAATTTTCTGGTCCCGAGATGTCCACGGATGTCCACGGCAGCCACTAAGATTCCAGAGACAGAAACCATGTTCTCTGTATCAATGAGCTTTGGGCTCATCAGAAGGGATCATATTCAGAAATGAACTATGGTAGTCCAAACTGCAATAAAACATTGGAATTGTAAAGCAAAACTGCAGAAAATGAAAGGAAATCTGCCTCGGCGCCCCCAAAATATTTCATTTTTTTATTTTTGTTTATTTTTATTTATGTTTTTTTATTATTTGTGTTTATCTTTTTTTCTATGTTGTTTCATATGTTCTATTTGTTTCTATGCTTTCTTTTTTTATTTGTTTCAAGTTGTTCTCAGTTCTGGAAGGTAATTGAATCAGTAATTGAAGGAACCTCCAGCTGGCTATTCACAAGATGTTTTTCCATTGTTTTTCAATAGTTCTAAATATGTTTCGTTACGTTTAATTGTTTTTGTATATTGTTTGATAGCTTCCATTATGTTCCTCGAATGTAAGTATTTTTGCTTAGTTGTTACAATTTGGTATTACTTATTCTTATCTTAATTAATTGTTTATCATCATTATTTACTATGTTTTATTTTTCCAGGTTTGATTATGATCCCTCGTGATTAGACTCCCTGTTCTCATAGAAGATTGTACCAGAGAGGTACAAGATCAATGATCTATATATATATTATATATTATATTAAACTATATGTCGATATTCATTTCCAACTGCTGCAGAGAGACCTGAAAGAGCCACTGACCCTAAGTTGTTGGAAGTCATCCGGGAGCTACAGGCAACTACAACCCCCTGGCAGCACCCCTCACAATGGATTCGATAAAGCAAGCCTCTTACAAATGCTGCAGCATTGTGGTTTGACATGGTTTGAGGTCATTCGCACACGTATGTCACGCAGTGACTGTGATTAGTAGCCGAACCCCATGTACTCAATCTACTGATATCTACTGCAACTCTGCAGTCATCGGAAGGTGCGTTCAGTTACAAATGTCCATTGCATGGCTTTGCCTGTGCCCATGTCCCGCGTCCTGCGCTCTCTGCACAGCTTTTTGCAGTTCTTCAAGCGACCCAAGATCTGATTGACTCCTTCAAATGCAGGCTGCTGGCTTCTGCTGCGCCTATCCCAACGTCTACTAGTTCAAAGGAAACAATCCAAGCCTAAGGTCTGTTGATACTGCTGTCAATCCATTCTCACACTGTGACATACTTTGATGAAGATTCATTGATGTCTTGGAATCACCACTACTCACTACTCGTTGGAAACATGACCGCTTGCCCAAAACCTAGCCCATACTGTACCACTGGTTGCCTAAAGCCTATCTTGTACTACCACTGTACTCTATACCAGGCTTAGTATGATTCTGCTTTGTCTCACACGGGACTCGTGTTCTCAGGTTGGGTCTTGAAGATTTCCTGATTGATGTTTCACAGAAGGGTACGGTTCTACGTTTTCAAGAGATTTCATTTGGTTTCGTTCCAGAATGTCGATCCAATACAATTCTCAATAATTCTCCACGAAGTTCGGTTGGAAGCTGATTGCCCTTCAGCTGCCCACTGGATCAATACCATGCCAAGTGTCTCTTCCTCACTGGCGGCTTGAGCCTGACACCATCTTGCATTATCTTGCAGAGTTCATGGGAGTACGGCGCCGGTTTCGCAGCAGAAATCTCACCCTCGCTACTTACAACAAATGTCAGAGGAATTCCTTGCAAATAAAGGGTGGGAATGAAAGACCGTTTCAATCCTTTTGAATCCTCTTCGCCTTTCTCATCGATCTCAAACCTAAATCGATCAACAAACCCAACAAACGGATAATCGAGTACCCTCTTCCAGATCTTCTAGGTGCACCTGCCTCCGCCTTTCGCGGTTGCGAGCTGCTTTCACCCCGGCGGCGGTCGGGGATCGAGGGCTTTCGGGTGCGCCCAAAGCTGTCCTTGGCAATTCATGGCAATTCAAACCTGCGCCATGGAGACTTGTACGCGTAAAATACTTATACACATTGAACTCGAAGTGGCCTGGTCTCTATACAATTTTGAATCAAATATACCCTTGAATAAACTGGTCAGAGTCAAACCCTATTTCAATGCAAACTGGTCAGAGTCAAACCTTATTTCAATGCAAAAATCAAAGGTGTGTTATGCTTAAAATGTGTTTACCACCGCATTTCCGGTCACAGTGTCCTCGCTGCTTTCGCTGCTGTCGTACCTGCGGGATTGTATGCCAAACACGATGTACTGAGATGAAGCTGTTGTTGAAAGTTGTAAGCTTCCCCAATGGGCATATTCTCAATAAACACGGATGGGCAAGCATTGCCAAACATGGTGAAACAATGTGAAACATCTCGTAGAAATGTTGCGAGTAGCCCTTTGGAATCCGTTGGGCCCTTGCTCGGCTTGCTCGGCCGCTTAGCTAACAAAGTCAGGTTCCCGATTGCAGCTTGTGTGAAACTGGATGATCTATCGATGATCTGGGTTTCAAAGGTCCCGAACCACCTTCCAAAGCAAACAATCTGAGGCCTAACAGTTGTCTTGCCTGTGCCGCGTCCGTCGCTGGCGATGATCGCTACCTGAGGAACTACATGATATTGCCACCGAGAAAAGCATGGATTATATATTGACATTGTGTGACTCATGCTGCACAGGCGCTACTACTTCTCTTCCGACGCTCATGTTTTGGTTGTCCTTTCTGGCTACCTCGGAGCAGGCTCTGTGGGTCCCGGAAAGACAATTTCGTGGGTGATGGCTGCTCACCAAATGGCCATGATCATTGTGTCCAGATGTGTCCAGGGAAGTATAGAAAAACAGTACTGCCTGCTGCGTGATTCACGCAGTGAATCACAGTGAGCTGAGCTTCAGAAGGCTGGACATCGCTAGTCAATGCATTGAGGGCATGCGAGGCGGACGTGTCAAGCATTCGGAACACTGGTTCCGAGCACCACCTTCTGCCCTATATGTTGTCAAATGCCCGTAGGGACAGAACATGTGGTATCACTTATAGATATTTATAGAATATACAACAGATTGCAGCAATGCAGATACTCGTCTCCTGCCAGGACAGAAATTCAGCTTAATCCAAGACTCGGTTGATACGGGTCTGTACCGACCGCACGAAGTTGGTCACCAGGGCGGAGTAGTTACCCTCACCCTCTCCTCAGTTGATTCGTTGATTCCATATTTTGCGTCAGGGTCTCGAGAGTCTCGAGTTTCAATTTGCAGTTCTCTGCATCGTTGTCACAGGGGCGGTTGCAAGCATTGCATGCAGTAGTCAGAGCCCTGGCTCTCATGGTTGACCTTAACATATGTATATTATATATATATGTTAACTTGTTGGCTTTCTGATCAACGAAGTGAGAATCTGCTATGTTCCATGGACAGCCAGAGTTCTCTTATCCGAATATCACTGAATGAAGTGCCGGCTTATGTCTGCCGTTCCCATTCTCACCACCGTTTCCTTGTGCACGTTCCATCACTTTACCACGCCAAGGCTCGCTTGGGTTTGAATTCCGCCAGCACCGTTTCCAGCACCTGGGAAAGCAGCCGTCTATTGGAAGGTCCTGCCTTGCCATGGAATCTCCGGCCCCCATTTCTTGTACCAATGTCCATCAGTGTCATCTGCGGAAGAAATGTTCAAAGCTATTGAATTATTATGAATTATTGCTACCTTCCTATACTATACCCCTATCTACCCCTATCCAAAGTTCTAGTAGGTTTCCTAAATGTTCCCAATATGCTATAGACACTGATTCTTTCAGGGTGCAACGGTGCAACAGTATACGAATAGTGTCGAATAGTACACTCATGTACAATCTGTATGATCATCACTAATTTACGATACAGTATTTCACCATATTTCATCAATCCAAGAGTCGTGTTTCATGGTGTTTCGACCCAAAAACTGCTTGGCGAGGCCAGACCTCCCAGACCTCCCAGACCTTGACCCCTGGCCTCACGGTCCACCTTCTCAAGGAAGTCGGAGGCACGGTCGTCGATGGGATAGCGGTCACCTTGGGATGTGGACTGATGACTGATGTGGATCACCATGGATCACCATGGATCACCATGGATCACCAGGCTCAACAAATACAAACGTCGAGATCTGTCGAGTATCTTTCTGTGGATCATTATGTTGTCATTGTAGTTCAAATTGACTGTGATTGTCATTGATTGTCTATCTGTGTGTGTGTGTGCACTTGCGTTTTGATATTGTACGGTCATGCCGGGTTCGATACTTACGAAACAAAGGTACTGCATTTCGCAAGGCAGTGCCAGCTCGAGAAGGGTCAGGGGCGGTGGAAGGGCGCCCCAATCTCTTTTTCGGCTCAGCAAGTCTACGCTGGCAAAAAAGAATGAGGGTCTCAAAATGCACGGCACTGCAACATAGATGGAATGCTACCCTTGAATCTGATGCCCACTCAACTCCCAACCCGTCTTGCAAGTACAAGCGACCAGTATCTACTTAACCACAAGCAGCAAGAAACTTCTGGGATGGACATGGATGGACATTTGCCAGTGCTTGCCTCTTTTACTGCTCAATTCCTTCCCAGTTCCCAGCACAGCCGTGTGGCGGAAATCCCTCAACTTCTCACTGAGGTCATCCCGTCCCATGGCGGAGGCGGATGGCGTGAGCTGAGAGGCTGGGATCAGCCCATCTCACCGCCCAGAATTGGACCGTCTGCTACCGTTGCTACCATATGCCAGGCTTTGAAGGAATGTTGGGAGATAGTGGGGCCCATCTGATGTCAAGGAGGGGCTGAAGCAACATGGTCAACAGGACCGATTGGGGTCACAAATGGCCTAAGCAGACGTACTGTTTCTGATCAAAGGGTCGTCTCTGTGCAAAATGCAATGTCTGAGGCCTGACCCCTTAGTACTTAGCGTTGGCGTGAGCTGTGTTTTGTCTTCTAGGACTTCCTCTCACTTATTTAATTTTAACTACCTCAATGTTAGCTGAATCACCTCCGGAGTAGTGTATGAAACCTTGACGCTAGAGATGTCAGCGAGCCAGGTCCAGCAAACCTTTGCAGCAACTGGTTTCACCACTCTCAATGCAAGGATTTGGTTCAAAGATGTTCAATTCCTCAACTTATCCCAGTTCCCGGCTCAGTTCCCGTACCTATAGCATAACTACAAGGCAACTACAGGATGTAAAATGATGTAAATCCAGATCAGCAGATAGGTTGACGTCAAAAACGTTGAAAGTGATGTGTTACAGCACTTGATCTCACTCGAACTGTTGGGTCGAGTTCTCACGCCGTGGGCATGTCCGGTGCGCACCTGATGGCTCAGTTGCAGCGGTGGTAAGGTGAGCACCGGGATGCAAAAAACACCATGGCTCATTTCAAACCTCGGTGACGCGCAAATTGGTGGATCTGTAGAGTATGGCGATAAGATGCTATAGGATGCTATAGAATCTGGTCTCTGGTTCCCACATAGAAATCAGCCAACTCTTCCTTGGGATTGGATCCTTATGGATCCCTATATTATCTCAGTGTGTTTTTCTTACCTAGCTGGGGAGATTTCTCCTTCGTTGTCCTCCCTTCATCCATGGGCTGCGTTCCCAGTCCAGTCTGTTGACTGCATCACAAAGACTCAGAGCATGCGGACAGTTCCAATGCCAAGGAACCATGTGCCCAATGTTCCTGCTGCCACACCTGCGTGGAGAGTGGCAAATGCACTCCAAGCATGCAAAGTTAAAGTATGTACACGTTTCAAGCTCATCTGTGCGAGTACAATGTGTAGAGTATGCAAAATAATTTGTTGTCCATGTTGAATCTTGCACGTAAATGCAACGAACATATTATATCTTGAATATGAATGTATATAAATGATTATAAATGCCAAGTGAGTACAGCTTTGCTTAACAAACGCCGAGATGAATTTGCTTTGGCCAAGCAGAATTTTAAGCGCATCTTTGCTGCAGTCCCTGCGCCTACAGCCCCAGCTGTCAGCAGTTTCCTGTGGCAGGAGCCAGGAATGATCCAGAGTGCTCCAGTGATCTCAGTGAAATCTGTTTTTTTTTGGTGATGTGGCATGCTGATGCAGCAAGTATCACATCGTGCAATGACTGCCGCCAGGCTGGCAACAAATTCTGGGAACTCAGAGCGAATGTTGTTCACAAGACTTCACAAGCATGTATACGTAATATTTTTCTTGCAGCTCTTGGGCAAGGCCATGCCAGCATTGGTCCTCCTTCCCGTTGCTATGACTGGGGCTGCCATGACTGCAAGATCCAAGTCTTCAAGTATGTCTCTGGGTTCTTTTGACTGAGCGCTGCTGTACCAAGACCTGGCTGTCCAATAAATTCGATATATTTCGAGATTTCATCGGTGCCGCAATGGTTCGTTTCTATGAAAGCGTTCAAGGAGAAGGTGTCGCTTCAGATGTCGTGCTCAGCGAACGTCAAATAATGCCCAGCATCTAATCAGGCACCTATCTGTGCTTTTTTCAGGTTGAAGTATGCGAGGTAGGGGCAGTTTGCATGCGAAATATTTAGTCACGGTGTCTGTCGAAGCTGCCTACAGCAGAGCTGAGCAAGACATCGGCCCACCGGCGAACTCTAGTGCACTCCGTCTACACTCATGGCTACTCCCAGGGACTAATCCGAATGATGCTCTGAGAACGAGCTAGAAGCACCCAAATTTGGATCATTCCAGAGTTCCTGGTGTTGCTTCTGCTTGCTAAGTACAGGCCTCGTAATCAAATCAACAGTAATCAACCAGATTTTGGTGTTGCACCACAGGTGTACATGGTTTCAACATGTTTCAACGGTTTCATGGTGAACGTTGTGAAGTCCGCAGTTGAACCGGGCGAATCCTTCCGCATCTTTTTGGACCCTTCATCTGCAGCTTCTGTGACAGACTCAAACCTCACAGCTGCAGTGCTAGAGGTGACCTCATCCTAGGCACTATTCTGTTAAGCGAAACGAAAACTCGGCCTGGGGTGAAGGTATCTTTTTTTATCTTTTTTCTGGCAATCTCCTACGCTCCTGCGTATTATTGGGTAATGGGTAATCTATGGTAATCTACCAACATTGTTCAATTCCGGATCTCTGCCTTGCTTGGTGGACGGTGACCCCAACTGAGTCTGGAACTTTGCAGTGGCCGAAATCTCGGTTGGCCCAGGCCGAGTGGTGCTCATGGGATCTCATGGGGACATGTCCATGGCTTTTTGTTTTGCTCATTCCTGGAATCACCACTTTCGCAAATCACATCCAGCAACTCATGCTCCGAGAACCTCCAAGGTTACAAATGTATACAAATGTCACGGGATTTCCCCTGCTCAGTGAACCAATGACATCAATGATCATCAATGACATTCAGACATTCAGCTGTAGCTAGTAGCAGCTAGAGTTCAGGTGCTGTGCTGCTGGGGTTCCAAACGTCTAAAGCACCGAAACCTGAGCACGGACATCATGGGACCAGTCTTGTTGACCTTGTGACCTTTTCCATCCTTTTCCTTTTCCTGTCCAATTCCTGTTTTCAAACGGCACCCAACCCTGGAAAGAAGATCAATAAAGGACTGGGTGGCGTCTTTATGGTTTAACAAGTGGTAGTTGCAGTTACTAAGCAGTTACTACTGGACTGTGGTCGATATGTGCTACCCCATTGCACAATTCTCCTTGCCTTCAATTACTGCAAAGAATGCGCCACTCTACACGCAGTTCAGATCCTGCTGCTGCTTGTTTAGATAGTCTGGTTCCATCTGATTCACAGATCTCACCACATGTTCTTCCCTGTTGCCCGAGGACCAACCTGTCTTCATTTCCTGGACGAAGTTTGTCCAATCTTCCAAGGCCCCGACCTGGGAGATGAAACTTTGTAGTGCAGTGGAATTCCAACGGTTGCAGCCATTGATTTATTCACATGACATGCACCTGGGAATCTGCCATATGAAATTTGGATAAATTTAGAAGAATGTCACAGATATAATTGCCCGCTGAAGTCCTGAAATCACCCATTCCTTCGAATATCCTCCTTATCCTCCTCCTTCCTATTCTCGTCGATTCTCCAACCCTTTTGAGGTGGCCTTGCGTCGCACACGTCGATCGCTCGCACGAGACCTTGGTACAGGGCTGGCACCGGCTGGAAACAAATTGACCTTAATGCCCTGACAATATCCTGATGATAATACGTTGATAGTACCCTGATAGTACCCTGATAGTACCTTGACAATACATGATAATACACATGATAATATACATGATGATATCATACAATACCTTGACAATACCTTGACATACTTTGTCATCGCCTCGAGAACGACATGGAGACCTCCCTGCCCAGCTGCAGGCTATGAAACTGGAGCGAAGGGACTGGATGTCGTTCGAGAGCTTTTCTAAAGCGCGTATACCTGCATCGATCCAAACAGTCCAAACTCTTGAAACCCTTTGCCCATGCTATGCATTGTGCTGGCAAACCCCTCATCATTCTCTATGTTCTCTCAAGAGCGGCCCTGCACAAGGTCCATGGGGATTGCCAAATGCTGGTGTCAAGATGTGTCAAGAACTTGTAGATGATCAAAGAAATATCAAAGATGCACTGTCTTCATCACTTATACTGATCGCATCTGATCGCATTTTTGGTAAGGTTCTCCCATCACAGTGAAACTTCAACGACCAGCCTGGTGGAACTGCGCCAAGCTTCGGGATATGCCTCAGCGCCATGAGTTCTGGAATCCCGGAAGAATGAGTTCTGAATTTTGTGCCTCAACCGATTTCAAGGTTGACACATGCGGAAGAAAAACTGATCTCAGCTGACTTAGTTGTGAGATGTTGTGAGATTGTACCCCTCTTCAAACATTTTCTGGCTGCTCATGCATTGATATGCACTATTCATGTTCCACAACGAGTTGAAAAGCATTTCGTCCAAAGCTTTATTCCTCCTTTGTGATACAAAAGCTCGGCGAACTGAGTTTTGGGGCCTGGTGAGCAGTGTAATCGTCATCCAGTCCTGGTCATTGCTGGAAGTCCGTGCATGGGTATGTTAACCGACCTTTGCTACAGATTGGCAAATTAGCAAAGGGTTCACGCGGATTGATCATGTTTTGCGATGTCCAAACATTTGAAGCGATTAGCCACTGCTCCATACTTTTTGAAATGCCCACCCTTCTGGAATATAATCAAAATATACAAATTTAGCAGCATGAGTAAAACGAGTAAAAGTCTAGTCCGGGTGAGCTTGCAGTCCGATGGATATACCGCGATAGAGGATGGTACAGGTGGAACGGTGGAACAAAAAACTCAGCCTGGCACGTGAGCGGTATGTTTTTGGGATATGCCGCTTCAACATGTTTCAACTAGACTACGCTTTCACGAAGGCCAATCACCACACCAGGACTGTGTTTTCATCAGTGGAGATGGTGCGGCATCATTGTTTTCGCCCTTGCTTTGCAGCTCTTGGCTACACATGTCACGAGCCTTTAATGGCAATGTTATGACTGGCCAAGTTGTGGTATCCCTTCGCCGTACGCCAGAAAGTTCCCAGCAGTTCCTCCAAAGCTTGCTCAAACTCCGGAACGGAGACCACCTCTGAAGCAGTGGATTGATATTGATTGCATGATTTTCTAATGATAAACGCCAACAGATCTCCATCATTGGGGGAAACAACTGAGAGTCAAGCACACTCATAATCAAGAGTGCCACAAATAGTCAGGAATTGTTAAGTCATGTTAAGTTGGCAAAGTCATCAAGAATTGGGACTGCAAGTTTCGCCTCATGGCTTGTAATCCTGAGCATCCTGTCCTGGATGACTTGACCTCACAGTTTCCCCAGAGCCTGGGTCAGGTGCGACTGCGTCACCTGAGGCGTGGGGGTGTCAATCCTGAGAAGAGTCCATTTGAAGGTTGAGAAATGTTGAGAAACTCTTGTCTTCACTGTACTTGGCTTCTTCAAAAACGGTGAGTAATTCTTCATTCTTGAAAACGAAGATGTCACATTCACTTGTCCATCGTTTGATGGAAGCTCTTTAAGGTCTTTTCACGCAAGTGTCAGCCAAGCTGTGACGAAACATCAACAGTGTTGCACTGCCACGTTTTGGTGATCGAAAGTTAGGCACTGAATCCTGCTGGACAGCTCCACTTTTTTCTCTAGCGCAAGCAAGCCATAACAAACTCAAGTCACCACTCCGCGCTCTCCAATCCTTGAGATAATCGAGTAAATTGGGCTTTAAAGGAGCCATATATATATATCCATATATATATATATATATATCCATATATATATATATCCATATATATATATATCATATATCCATATATATATAGCAATATCAAGGATTTCACTTCGCGGCACCCCATAACCCAACCTCCCAAAGAAACTCTGGCGCTGCAGGTTTCAGCTGGTGGTTCGCCACAATCACAGCTCGCCTCTGGTTGAGTCAAAGATTTTCACCCGACCCACCACCAAGTTGAAAAGAGCTAAATCTGTCTGGCTCAAAAGTCGCAATCCAAAAGTCAGCAAGATTGATCCGGTTTTCTCATTAGATCGAACATGAGGCTAAAATAGGCTGAATATGAGCAATTTATTGTTGAATGTCTACGCTCAATGGACTGCATCTAAGACTAAGAATGGCTCAGGGATTCAATTCCACAGACAAAATTCAAACCCAGCGAAATGGTTCGATCAGATCATCGGCTTGAACAGCTTTCAAGAGCTGGGGCATAGAGCCTTTCGCCCAAGTTGAGGCTTTGGAAGTGGCGAAGGTCACGTAAGAAGTACTTCCCTGGCAGGTTTGCAAGGAATGACCGGCTTTGACAATATGTCATTGTTCGCTTTCTCTTTACCGAACCATACTGATGCTATTGAGCACTCATCCTTTGATGCGGCTAGTGGCTATAAGTGGTTCACCTACCAGTAGGACCTATCTTGATCTGAAACGCTTGAGAACAATGAACAACATGTATCACATGCTCGGAAGGCCGTCTGCCTTTGTTCTGTTGAACCCTTGTCTACACTGTAGCTGGTCCTTTCTTGCAACTCCAGTCTACCCCTCTGTATCAATCATGTCATTCTGAGCATGGCAAGTGTCAATCGGCTGTGGTCACAACTGTCAATCATGAGGATCTCAGTCCACTTCTCAGCAAACTAATCAGAAACTCAACGGCAGTAAGCCTCAAGCTTTATCTGCTTCACTATGATGGCTCAGTGTTTTCGTCTTTTTCCTGGTTCTGAGATTCCCAGAAAATGTTTCACTATGTTGTATTGAGAAGCACATGGAGGCGGCGCTTGTTCTCAAGTGGTTCGTTTTTTCACAACAACACCTCCAGTCCCCCAGCCAAAATCCCGGACCTGCGTGGTCCAAAAATACTGCCTGGAAAGGCCCTTGGAGCCTTTGGCAAACATGTCAACAGTTTCACTTCAGATTCAAAAGATCACCCACTGAAAGAATCATCCACTGAAAGAACCCAAGGGGCTCACACTCCACGCATTCAAACGAAATCAGTCACAGTTTCTTTACGCAAATGCTAAAAAAAACTTTTTATTCTTGCCAGATTCCCAAACCCATGGCTTCAACAGCGTTCAACACATCCCAGAATTTTGGCATTTTTTTTGATCTGTCAGGGTGCAGTTCACTGTCATGGCATCCCATGGCATCCCCATGGGAAACTCTCCATGCCAAGCCTGGGAAAAACTGAAGCACTGTTGCCAATCCACACCTCTCCAGGTGTGATATTCACGGAATATCACGGAATATCTCCACTGATCAATCCATTGTGAGACCCATGAGAGATTTGCAACACCTGGTGAAGGACCGTCTCCAGATCGCACCAAGAGCGTCCGAAAAGATGCAGTTCCCGAAACAGGGCAATGGGCAAAGCAAATGCTCAATGCAAGCTGCAAGCTTTTTTCCTTGTCTCAGTGTCTCCACTTATGACTCAATTCCCTGAGAATCCTGCCATATGACTTCAAATGTAAATCAAGCATTCAAGCGCAGGCTGAAACTGATCGAGGGGGCTTAACAAACATCCATGATGCTGACAGATACCTGAAACACCTGAAAGAATTGTGCATGATTCCCTCATGTGTTTTTTCTTGCTGTTCAGGAATCCCCAACATCTTCAAGTAGGGTCTGATTTCCACGGAAATGAAAGCGCACCTGGGTCCACGATTTTGGGTCTTACCCCTGCCTACAAAGGCACTTAGCCCTGCACCTTGATCCGGTCGCTGAGGTTGGACATGGCCTTGATTTCTCAGGTCATCCTGTGGGTCCAATGAGTTTGCAACTGAGTCTCAAACGATCATGCATCTTGTTATGACCACCCGCAGAGGATCTTCCTGTAAGGAGGCAGCACCAACTGTTTGTCAGAAAACAAGAAACACCGTTCAGGAATCCTGCAGTCATAATTACATAAATGAAATAATAATATGCTATTATAGAGACAGTGGGCACACAAACACTGAAAGGAAAAAACATCACAAGCAGCTGACGTGCTGCCCCCACAAAAATACGGCTGCTGGTATACCGCCAAAGCAGACATGAAACAGAAAATCAAGAGGCTGTGGCCATTTGATAGAGCAGCAAAACTCTTAATTCATCATCTGTTCGTTTCAAATGTCATTAGTTTTGTCTTGTTTCCATGGTGCTTGTTGGTTCACAGTTTACAATGTTTACAGACTATTACCTGCAGTATCGATCTGTATTCGCAGTATCTTCACGGTATCAAGGATGGCTCCACTCGGTGCACCCATTTGCACCCCTTCATTCCTGTTGGGCATGGGTCCTCCACCGTCTCTACCAGCATCGGCAGGGCCGACGCCTTTTTGATGCAAAGAGGGCAGAACAGGCCGTCTTTCCTTTGGTTGTGATTCAACATGATTCAACAAATGCCAGAGACTGAACTTGATTTCAATCCTTTCAGTATGACAATCTAAGCCTTTGAGCGTGTCAATCTTCTGCGTCGGTCGTTTGACCATCAGACCTTGCATAGACAGTTCCCTCAGCATCACTCAGCCCCCAAACCATGCGGATGGCAGAGTACCCACAGTAGGTACCCAGCTCCAGGACCTCCCGGTGATGCCAGTTATCTGGTCCAGTCCAGAACGCTGATGAAACAGCTCAGACCAACATAGTCACATCGTACATACATCGTACATCATCGTACCATATTTGGCGATGGTTTCCTCATGGAATCCTGAATCCTTCCTGCCTCTCTGAATTGTCTTGAATTGTTCTCTTTCAAATGCTGGATCACGTTGGATCTAACTGTTCCTGAACTTCTTGTGCCACTAAAGATCACTAAAGATCACTAAAGGGCGTCAAGCGGATCAAGCTGCAGTGTACTCAGGGCAGCTTTCCGGTCGGCCACAAAGAGTTGCCCCACCTTGCCATCCACTTGGCGACATCCCTTGAGGCAGGAGATCAGCAACTGGGCCTTCCCAGGAATCACAATGGAACATCAATGGAACTACTATCTATACCGTCTAGACCTAGGCCTTTCTTCAAGCGGCTGTGGATGCTATGAGAGGGTTCGCGGTTCGGTTAAATCTCCTGGCTTAGTAGTGGGTCTTGCGGTATCCATGAAACATGCTATCCCCTGAGTAGGACCATTGTGAATGTATTTTCGATTACACTTGCCAGTAGCATCTCTTGAGTTGTTTGGTGAGCTTTCAGTGTGCAGTTGACTTGTTCCTGCAAATGCAGATGCATCTTGGTCGCTGACACTAAGACGGTGTCCCGTACCCATCAGATCGCTTCCAACCACCAAGTTTATGGCTCAAGCCTTCAGTCCTCCGGCCATGTCGAACCACAGGCGATTGCCTCAGGTTCAGGCAACGTCAGAACGATTGGAGATTGATTGAGGTCAAACACCTTTCAAGCAACCTGCACGGGGCCTCCTCATGCCCAAGCTGTACAAACTGTGTCTTTCCAATCTCATGTCCAGCTAACATCACCCCAACCTTACACATGGCTTCACATCATCCACGCCTCCCGGCCTCACACCCTGAATTGTTCGCCGAGGGGCTACGCCAACGCTTCTTCGCCACACCTTCCATTGCTTCCGTGGCAGTACCACCATCGACCTCTGTGCTGAAAAGGCTTCAGGCGAATACAAATGAGCCGTTGGTTGGGTTTATGAAAGTTCGGATCTTGCGTGTCTTGTAATTGTCAATGAGCGTGTCTCACAGAAGGATCACGATCACCATCATCTGATGGTTTCATAGACAACAGGCCATGGCAATTGGAACCCCTGATGGGGTTAGCTGCAAGCATCGCACATACATTTTGTGGTGCATCTAGATGGTCCCAAACAGGACCCATAGTTTGCATTATGTGCTAGTTGAACTAACTTGTATTATTGTCAAAGATTGTCCCTTTTTCAGACTCTACATGTTGAGCATCACCACAGCCATTGATCAACATGCATATGTTCAACAGTGTTCAACTTTCTCAACAAGCAAGCGGGAATTGTGAGGCCCGAGAGATGTCCGTCTTTTGAACAGAACATAGCAGCAGGTGGCTCCCGTGTGCAATCGCTGGGTCTTCCACCACTCGTTGCACGGCTCGGGCCAGCAGGTTGAGCTCCTGGAAATTACTGCAATCAGCTTGGAGTGTGCCTGCGTTTGATGTTCAAAGGTTTTCATTGGACCCGCCGCCACATCCATCCACATCCTACCACCTGCAAGGCGCCACCCCGGGACCACTCTTCTCCTTGTTGTATGGCAGCGCACCTTGGAAGCGCCGATGCCTGGGCGGGCTGAGGTCATCTGATTTAGTGGCTTTCCCAAAGTTCTTACTGGATAGCTCCCAGGCCGTGAAATGTCGCTACGGTTGGGACATGAGCCTTTGTCAAAGGGAAACAGACCCAACAGGCATGCATGGTTTGCGAATGTGTATCAAGGATTACAGTATAAGATGTAGGATTAAAGTATTGTCCCTGAGTTGTGGTTGACGAATCTCACCTCCTTCCATTCTTCCAACTCTATTGGCTTAGGTCTCCAAACATGGCGCCGCGGAGTTTCTTCGCGAACGTCAGACCAGTGGGCCGGTAGCCACACCACTGCGCATGACAGGTCGGTGGTACGCAGAACAATGACAAAATAATTCATGGGACGAGCTATCCAACCTGTTGTTCGTAGGATGATAGCCGCAAACTTGGGTCTTGGTGGCAAAATCGTGAAAACACAATGTTACTGTAAGATACAACAGAAGAGCAAGATGCGCAAGTCCGCAAGACGTTCAAACCTTGTAGCACTGCCTCCATTTCAAGCAGCTTGGCGTACGACCGTCCTACTGCATTCGCCACGCCCACCTTGGCGGCAGGTTAGATCAGTGGTCATGTGCCAGGCCACGACATGTTGTCAATATCAATTGTATATCGCATACACATATATATATATATGTATATATAAATATTACTATTATTGTTATTACTATTATTATTATTTATTATTAGTATTAGTAATAATTATTATTACAGTACTAATTATTATTGTTATTACTAAATATCATTATTATTACTATCATTACTATTATTATTATCATCACTATTACTATTATATGATAAATTATATATCTATGTAATATGTATATTGATTCATGTATGCAATATTGCACAGTACAGTATAGTACAGTATACAATATTCCGCCAAGTCATCCATATGTCACGGCTGGTTCCCCGAAACTGCTGGGTGGCTGACGTCACTGAAAGCTCTCTTAGTTTCCCGTTGGGCCATCATGGTCCGACGCTTCACCGTGTCTCCCAAGCGCTCAAGAAGTATGCACCTGGCCGCAGCCAGACCCTGGTGGAAACATCTGCGCGAATCCTAGAGACTACAAGCTATCAGGGTATCATGAAAACAGGGACGTTTCAAACACAAACACATTTTCCGCTTGACAAGTATTGCAGACTTTCGCGACCAAAGTACTTGCCTCATCTCACATCAAACGAAATCACAACTGAGAAGGAGTAGTCATTTGTCTATACAATTACATATGTTGATGCAGAGCCGCTCAGGACTACTGAGTATACGCATGTATAAATGCCATAGAACCCAATGTGTTACATGTCGTCACAAAGGACCGGTTAAAAAAGATAAGGAGCGACAACAGGAAGCTGCCAAGCTACATGGACCAACAAAGCAAAGGCAAGCAAGCAGAACGGTGAATGGAGCTGTCATCCAAACAGACCTGGTGATATGCCCAAGAAAACCTGAAAGAAATGGATCTAAAGCACAAGTCGTCACAAATCCCAAATGCGAAGTTGCTTTCAAGAGTGCCCCAGCATCTCTTTACCCTCCCCGGTCTCCCAGAGGAGGCGTCCTCTGCTCTACAAACTGTGGCTCGTCCACAAAGACCAAGATGTCCCGGAAGCTGCTGAAGTCCAAGTAAGTTTGGTCCTCACAACATCACGACCACCAACACCACCAACACCACCAACACCACCATCGCCATCGCCATCGCCATCATCATCATCATCATCATCATCATCATCGCCATCATCATCAACATCATCATCGCCGCCGTCGTCGTCGCTATCGTCATCATCATCATCATCATCATCAACATCATCATCATCATCATCATCACCATCATCATCATCATCATCATCATCACCATCATCACCATCATCACTTTCTTGAGCACCAGTGTGGTGGTGTGTCTTTTTGAAACAATGTCCTTCATGCTAAAACCTGCATTGTGCTGGGTTACAACTAGCCATTGCAACGCTTTTCACCACTAGGCCTTCATTCCTCACCCTTGGCTAACCTCAGGCCACAGGAAGCGCACTCTGCGTGCCTTGCCGTCGAAATAGAGGGCAAAGGCTTGCCTGTCAGAACACAGATGGATCATCCGGATCTGTCAAGCACATTGCACAGACATTGCACAGCAATCCAGATCGAAATGACCGATGCATCGTGTTCTTCTTATGTTCCGTCTCCATGCGTCTCCATCCATCTCCTATCTTGCAGAAGCTGCGAATGCTGGAATCAAGAGTGCTTTGTGGCAAAAGAAAACCTCAAATCCCGACCATCGTCCTAGGACGACAAGCCCAAAAATTACGTGATAGTGAGTAATGAACCAATTTCTAAACTCTAGAATTTGCTGCCCGCTTGATTCCATTATCTAAGTGACTATTGTCCCTTTCTGACCTCCAGGCACTGTTCGACAGCATTGAAGACAGCAAGGATCCATACCTCACATGAGGTACGAATGGTGACTTGTGTTGTGACAAGAATACATGGTGCATCATTGTGTCCTTGCTACTCTCACAAGAGTCACTGTCTGGATAGCATAGTGGTTGGGCCATTGCTTGCGAGATCAAAGAGCCACCGGATTTGTCTGCTCACTTCACATCAAAGAACTACTTGTCCTCACTTCTTCACACTTAGGTTGGCAGCAAACTTAACTTGAGTCCACATCTTCAGACAGAGTTCCTGGATGAAGCCAGAGTGGCATTGGGTCTCGGCTCGGGCCAATATCCCAACATATCCCAACAGTTCAACAAATGCCCCGAACAAGCCCCAAAATCCCCAAACAACAAATGGATACAAATGGTCCATCTTCTGTACCAAAACCATCCAAAAGCTGCGGCAGAGGGGCGAAGCTTGGTGACTTTCGAGTTGCAACTCCTTCATTTCATCCATCAGCTGAAGAGACCAGCTCCACCTGGGCACTTTGCGCGAAGTCAATCCAGGGGGGGGAAATCAGCAGTCAAACAACAAGAATGATGAGAGCTAGTTTGGCTTTTCAATATCTCCAAAAAGTCAAAAGCACCCATAAGATTGAAATGAAATCGTTTGCAGCCGCGAAGCTAAGTTCTTGACATGGGGTGGGTTAAGAAAATATTGAATCCCATCTCACTTGCAAATGCGCTTCATACTATATATATATGTATACATTATATAATATATATATATATAAATAACCTCGACAGAATCCTACCAAGTTGGGTTCAAATCATGTTAACCTTCCCTAAACTTGTGGACCAGCTAGGTTCTTCATCCTGAACATATTATACCCTTTCTGAAAACTACGGAAAAGTAAAACGTGTTTGCGGCATTAAACAGCATTGTTTGCGCTTTGCGACCCTGAAAATGCGTGTTTTGGCGGAAAAGTAGCTTTAGATCAGTATCAAGGATTCACATGGGGGATCTGGGGCTTGGGGCAATGCTGACGTAAAGATGTGCTGACATCTTAAATAAAATGGAAATGTATCTTTGTGAGTCTTTGTGGTGTTGAATCAATGTGTGAAGTTGTTATTCATTGGGCATTTACCAAAAACATTCCAAAAGCTATCCGGAACACGTGGAAACATACAACCCTGGTCGCTGAAATGGCGTGTGACAGATCGAGCTCAACAGCAAGCCGAGAATGCCGAGATCCCCGCATGCAGGAAGAACTCAAGCTGCCAATAGCAGCACCTTTTCGGGCGTTGTTGTCTTTTGTCTTATCGATCGGATGTGTCCCATCAGTCCCATCATTCAGAACTGTGACTGGGAAGTCCGTCTACCTTTCAAGGGGTGAAGGTCAGTGAAGGTCCCAAAATCACAATGTCAAATCTAGTCAATTACAAGTTGTTTACCTAGCAGTACTTCTGCAAGACAAGGGACATCTACGGAATTGTTGCGTTGAAATGAGATTAAAGGAGAAAAGAAAAAAGGCTGTCGGCTCTTTTTGCATCTGTGCGACCTTTAGGAACTATCCCGCCACAAGAAGCTTTCTCAACGGTCACCCAGCTGAAGAGGAAGTACAGTACAGGCTCCAGCAGCTATATAATTATATAGTATAATAATCTTAATCTAATATATTAATTGATTAATTTGTAAATTTTGTAATCTATAATTAGGATATTAATTAGGAAAATGTCAGTGAAAATGGCCCTTCCCTTTGAAACGTGCCGTGATGGTAGCCTGGCCCCAAACCATTCCCTTCAACAGGTTCAACGAGTTCAACGGGCTGCCAGGCTGTACACCATGTCGTCTGGAACAACTTGGCCTGGCTGACGACATGTGACGACGGTGATCTGCCCTGATCCGAAAGTGGACAAAACATGACGAAACGCATTGCAGTCCCATGATGTCCCATGCAGCCCCGCCTTCCCAAAAGTCTTCCAAAAGACATAGGATCTGATGCCATTCTCCAGCATTTCCACCTGAGATGTCCCAGGAAATTTGTTGGATATATTGTGATCCTCACACGTATTTGCAGAATTTCGCAGATTCTAGTTTCATGATGTTTCATGCTATCAGCAACTGTCGCAACAATATCTACCTTTGTGAGTCCAGTTTTGCAGCCCAATCCCAAGTCTGACATCCTGTGGTATCCTATGGTCCAACAGTTTCCTTAGCAAATTCGTTGCGTCTTCCTGGGACAAATTGGGACAAGGTGCAGGCATTCACCGTAGCCGCCCAGCTCAATGAATCGGGTTCCTCCGCATCCTCCGCATGCATTGCATCCAGCAGAAGCAACGCCACCTAACGCTGACCCCGGTGACGGTGCCCGGTCTGAAGAAAAAGATCATTTCTCGAGGGGGCTCTGAAAGATGCTAAAAGCATGAAACATTAAATTACACAGTGTTTATTATTGATTATTCAATCTCCTCTTTTTTCTGACCAGCCTGGCGCAATCGTTCCAGGATGTTCCAGGCTAAGGTTTATTGGAACTTCCGTTCAACAATGGACTGCCGGTGGATTCCTCAACCTCGTGCAAGATGGGCTTCTCAGCTCCCAGAGTAGACAGTTTTGATGGTCGGGCTCTGCATTCGAACTTGTGGCTGCTATGCAGCCCTATATAAGCCAGGGACTGAGGCTCTCGCGATGTCGCCTAAGTCTATTGAGTCCAGATCTTGGACTAAACTCTAAACTGCTCAAAGTGCCCAGTGCCAGAAGAGATATGTGTTGACAAACCATGACAAAGTCAATGCACTTGTGCAAGAGTTTCTTGATGTTTCTTGAATCCATCATGTGCCTGGCACACAGTCTTCACAAGAAACAGAAATGCCGTTGCAATCCAGAGATGTCAAAGTTCTGGGCAAATATGCTGTTTCCAATCGCTTGTAGCCCCGAAAAGTCAAGTGCTGGAGGTTGCTTGGCCATGACGCTCTCTCCAAAGACTGGCTAAACGAATCGCCAAAAATTAAACTGTGAATGCTGCTTGGCCAGTGCACATTATCCAAAGTTTGGTTGAATGACTCACCGAGGCTCAAGCTTTCAAGGCTGTGTGGCAAAACCACGTGCTCAAATAAGGAATGATTAAAAGAATCGCCAAAAGTTAAAGTCTTCAGAGTGCTTGGCAGAATCACATTCTTGAGAGATTGGTTGAATGCAAAACCAAAAGTTAAGGTTTCTAGCCGCTTTGGCCAGGAAACTCGCGTAATGGGTTGACTAAAAGACCTGCCAAAGGTCAAGGTCAAAAGGCCATCAGGGAAAGCCACGTGATCCAAGCGTTGGTTGAACCCGCCGAGAGTCAAACGCTTGAGGCTGCTAGGCAAACTTACTTTCTCCAAAGATTGGTTGAAAGCTTCACCAAAGGTCAAGTTTTTCAAGTTCATTGGCCAGGACACATCGTCCAATGACTGGTTAAAATCTCGACCAAAGGTCACATTGTGTAGGCTGTCTGGCAAGGACATTTGACCCAAACTTTGGTTGAAGTTTAGCCCAAATGTCACGTCTTTGAGGCTTCTTGGCCATGCTATGCCTTCCAAGCTTTCGTTGAAGGAGTCACCCAGAGTCAAAGTCTCAAGGCAATTTGGCAGGCTCAGTTCTTTCAAATTCTGTTTTGGGCCAGTTGTTAAGCTTTGGAGAGTGCTTGGCAATTTCACCTTTTCCAGCGGCTGGCAATATAGGCCGCCAAAAACCAACTTCCGCAGCCCGCATGGCAAATCTACACCTTCCAAGCTCTGGTTGTAAGGTTGACCAAGTGTAAGCATCTGAAGATCCATAGCCAAATTCACCCTCCCCAGATTCTGGCAAGATGAAGTGCCAAAGGTCAGATTCTGCGGTCTTGTCGGAAAATTAAAGCCTTCTAGGCACTGATTGAAGAAATCTCCAAAGGTCAGACTTTCAAGCGCATCCGGAAGCTTCACATTCTCCAAGGTTTGGTTGAAGAAATCACCAAATGTCAGGCTCTTTAGGCTAGGCCAGCTCACTGATGTCAAAGGCTGATTGAACCACTCACCAAAGTTGAGGTGGGACAGGCCGCATGGCAGAGCCAAGTCCAAATTCTGGTTGAAGGCCCCGCCAAAAGTCAGGCGCTGCAAGGTGCTGGGTAAAGTGACACCAGACAAACTTTGGTTGAATGCATGCCCGAAAGTCAGGTGTTCAAGGGTCTTTGGAAGCTTCACTTCTTTCAAGCTCTGGTTGAAGTCTCTGCCAAAAGTCAGACTTTTCAGCTGGCTTGGCAAGTTGCAGTGCTCCAAGCTCTTGTTGAACAAGTCACCGAAGGTCAGACTTTGGAGAGTGGGCCAGGTCAAACCGCGTATCTCTTGGTTGAACAAGTGGCCAAAGGTCAGGCTGTCGAGATTTCTTGGCAGCTTTAGCTGTTCAACACCTAGGAAAGTCATGGGATTCTGGGGTCTGCAGCACCGGATGTGTCTGCCTGTGCGTGTGGGTGTGTGGGTGTGTAACCCTTAAAACGCGCTTTTGTTGAATGCTGCATCTCATTATTTCGCCTAGAAGCTTCGGTTGAAGAAATCACCAAATGACAATCTCCGCAAGCTCAAAGGAAGCATTCCGTGCAATCTGTCTATCCGCGATGCCCCAGACAGCTGAGTGATACCTTCAAGCGCAAACTCTTCGTTGGTCGCCGGCAAACCCCTGATCAAACTCCAAGCGCTTGCAATATCGCAAGGCAGGTACACGAACGACCTCGCAGGCATCACCCATGGCCGGAGGCCAGGTCACGAGAGCAGTCAGCGCATGATAAGATTCAGATCAATGATTTGAAAAAATGCAAGAAAACAGTCTGTTAACTCATCTACCATGGGACAGGCTAAGGGAGTTCAGTTCCACACCGTCATGGCAAAGCTGCTCCTTCAAACTTTTGCGGAGGGAAAGAGGACGCGAGTCGTGCTGCAATGCGATGGTGGCACCCGTTTTTGCCGCAACCCGGCTACTCACAAGCTCTTGCAGGTCCCGGCCAGTCTTGGTGTCAGGTACTCCTAGGATTGGAGAGCTGGGCAAGGAATCCAACTTCAAAGTTGGATGACGTGTTGCCCCACCACAAGCTACAATGCTACAACAAAAAAATGTACAACAAAAAATATACAATAATATGCAATCATATACAATCATATGCAATCATATGCAATAGTATACTATACAACAATATACAATCATCATTAATCATTATCCCTGCCCTCTATTTTGGGAAAGCAGCTTGAAATGACAAATTTATACGGGACCATTCACTGGTCGGGCTAGGAATGGAAGCCCCAAAGATCTGCTCAGTATTGGGGGGCTCTATGGATTCAGGCGAGGTTCTGACCATGAAATGGTCGCCATCTAAAGCGTGCACGGTGATTTGCAAATGTGCATCAGGACCTTGGATATGGACCATCACCCCGCTACTCTCTTTGTACTACAATGTCTGCCACAGTGCGGATTCTTCAGATAAAAGTAGGCTATGATTCGTTCTTACAGATTCCCAAAATAACCTAAAATCATTGTGTTAACTGGTATCTGTTATCATTTCATTTTCCATTTGAAGGTCGGACATCTCATCAACCACAACTTCCGACAAAGAATGTCCTACCAAGCCCTGTCTGTATCTCTAGTACCAGTACGAAAGGAAAAACAACCAGGCTGGCGGCAGGTCAACCCAAACGTAGCCCTAGCCCTAGATGTACTGGTGACCCGTCATACGAAGCCATGGCATGGGCGTGGATGTTTTTCTTGGCTTTCGAAACTGCTCTTTCGAAACCAGGGACAAGTCATGCTGCAATCTTTGATCTTCTCTGACAGGACCACGTCTGCTCTGCCGCTCCATAGCCAAAGCTACCATTGCATGTGCACATTGTCTCACATTGTCACGTTGTGCTTCCCACCAGAATGAACAAATACTGTACCGGGAGCTCAAATACTCTTCAGAAGACATGCTCTGCATCTTTCTGTTTTCTTGCAAGCACTGTCAAAGCTGTTGTTTGTGCTATGTTTTACTTGCAGAAGATGAAAAGGCTTGTATATTATCTTTGACAACAATGCGAACAATGTCATATCGCATTGCTTGGAGAAAGGAGTTGATTGGAGCGATTGATGATGTGCAAAAGCTGGAGTCTGAGATAATGATGCTTAAAACATGTATAGTCAACAAGCATGTGCCCAGTTTCATATAGGAACTGAGCATCAAGCACACGGGCAATGATCGCAGGAACTGAAGAATTGTTTAAACTGTTAGATAAAATTTTGGTTCGGAGATGTTCAATGCAACTGAGCATGATGGTATCCAATCATCGGCAAAGAGCTTACAGGGGGATAGACGTGCCGCACTGCCAGGAACTTGCAAACCTTATTTCATGTTATTGTGAACAAGTGTTCCACATCTTCAAATCTTTAGGATCAACACATTGGAATCATAACCACCCATGCAGAACAACCGTGCAAAACGTGCTTGAAATGCGAATGCTACATCATACATCATCCAATGTTCCAACACCTCAACCTCCACTGAACCCAAGGTAACAGTGGTTGGTTTGGGCAAGTGCTTGAATGTGTGTAATGTCAACCCTGGATTAATAAACCCCTAGATTGTTTAATTGGGAGGGTACCATTTAAGTATCATATTATGACTATTGGTAGGGTACCCCCTAATTAATAAACCAGGGTTTATTATATAATCCGGGGTTGACATTAACCCCATTACCTTGCCACCAAAATTGCCAAAAGTGTGCTTTTTATGTGGGGCCATCCGCGGGTGAGAACGAAAATGCCTGTTGTTATTATCTATATTCAGTGAAGTACAATGGCCCTTGGCGAACTTGTCCTGCCACCACTCCTATCCATCAGCCAATGATCGGTAGGCCTCCCAAGCGTGCCCAGATGCGCAGCTGCGCAATGCTGAGTTGTACCTTTCCAATCATGTGAAAAGGAAAAACGGTACTCAGAAGGAGCAACTTTTTTCTGCCACCTACAGTAACCATCTCTCAACATTTCAGATTGGAGATTGACGCCCTGTGCAGAATCTTCCAAAACTGCAGAAAATGCATAGTACGAGTATGATGACATAAGCCAATAGAATGGCTCACATTCTGGGCTCTTTCGATTCTCGATACATAATTGATTGACCAGGTTGAAGTTAACTCCAGATTTGTCCTTCTTGCAATGACCAAGGTATACCGAGGTACATTATCCGATTTGGTGGACATGTCGCAGACCAGGCTTCTTCCAAGAGATCCAAGGCCTTCCGTACAAAAGACTCCAGGGAAGCGCTACTGCACAAGGGAAAAGGGTGGAAGTCACAATTCTTTGGGATTGTTTGGAATCTGATTATGACTGGATATGCAGAATATGCAGCATGTAGCAATGTAGTAGGCATACAAATCATCGACTTCTCCAGAGTCTCTACTAGGGAACTCCACCAGATGCTGTGGTGCACCATGCCGAAGTTGATCCTTATCAGGGCCCCGAGTCGCCCTAAAGCCTTGTTCCAAAGTCCGGAATTTTCGAAGCATGACAGGGTAGCACCAAAGGCAGGAAGACCTCACGTGGGATCCAAATGGCAGTCCGAGGCCAAACAGCCAAGTGATGAGTGATGAACAATGCGCCAATGCCAAGAGGCCTGGAGACAAATGCCAGCTGTCCATCCTGTTCGCCAGCTGCAGCTAATTTTCCTTGAGTCTATGCCCCTGTAAATACAAAGTCCAGTAGATTTGCTTGTTCATTTTTACCACTACAAGCACTTGCTCCTCGGCAAATCATAGCTGATGCTTGTTTGGGTATGCCACGGAAACGACACAGTGTAGTAGATTCTTAACATTGCAGACACAAACGCTGAATGTTTCATGCCAGTTTCCTAGTTTGAGACAAGAGTTTCCAAAGCAAAATGTCACACCTGCGCAGCAGGTCGAAAGCCTTTTCCCAGTCACCACAGGCTGCAAGCGCCTCTGGACAGGTGACTTGATTTGTCTCGGTTTGGGGAATCCAAATAGGGCTAGGCCAAATGAATATCAATCAAAAGTGTGCGATGGTCAGCCAAGTTTGGGGTCGTATGGGTCTTGAGTCTTTCAGTATGTTAGTAATAGAATATATGAGTTATACATAGTTATATCATATTTAATGTAATACGTGTATTATATATATATATTAAGACATATATACATATGTATATATATATATACATATGTATATATATATACATATGTTAGCATCCCTTAGTAAGAAGAACCCTTGTTCCGACTCGTGATTGCTTCACCACACTTTGGTACCTGATGAAAAAGCTGCGCATCGGCAAGTCTTTGGCCAAGCGCCTCCTCACACATCACAAAGTCGGGAAAAAATGGAAAAACATGAAACAAACACAGGAAAATATGGAATTTCTTTAAGAATCCCTGTGTTTGGGGTTAATGAATGTTTTCATGACATGGTGATACAGTGATACATTAGTGATACATTCTGATCAAGTATTGCGATGACCAGTCACCATATGTCACCATGGAGTCAACGAAAAGTCTATGGCCTATGGCTGCTCCTCCAGGAAACCAAAAGCTTCTTGCCATCGGTCCCCGCAAACCTTGTCCATGTCCAAACGAGCAACATCGAGCAACCATAAAAATGCAGTAAAATCCATGAAAAATATGAAAAATATGAAAATGTCAAGGTCTGTAGAAATGATGGGGCAAATCTCTGTCTTCACACATGTTCGTGACCGCCCAAATCATTTTGGTTGTGTGATTGGGGTTCCTGAAGGAAGGTGTCGGATATTCAGTTTTGCAAGCAAGATCAAGCAAGATTGCCGCACTACTGCACCATTTGTTTGTTGAACTCCCTGCAATAGCGAGTGCCCCAAGGTGATTTTGGATTCAGGCAGGGAGACTTCGTGATGAAACATGGCTTTCCAAGACCCCACATCCTACATTTGAGCATCCTTGAGTGCATGCAGGCACAACGGTATAATCATAACGGTCATAACATTTGCATTCTGTTCAAAACACCGGGTTGCGTGTTTGTAAGGCATATCAATGTTTCATCAGCCTTCACCCATGACAATCTGAACCCTTGCACCACATCTGTGTTATTTTTTTCGAATAATACAAATGAATGATAAACATATTTGATAACATGAATTATTCATAATTGCTTATAATATATATATATAATTATATATATATTATAAGTTTATTTATCATGTTTCAATATATTTCATTACATTTCACACAGTAGACTGATTTATACTGATCTTATTTCCAAGGCCCTCAGCCTGCACTGGGCGAGAGGCTGAAATAAGTCCGCCGTAGGCTTCTAGATCAACATCGATGTTCCACTGTCTGTTGAAGCGAGTTGGAGCTGACGGGGCTCGCGACTGCTGTACAATTTCAATTAAAGCTGCTACAGCCGTCCCAACCAAATGTGAAAGCGTGTGCTCCAAAACCCTGATTCAAAGCAAGATTGAAAGTATCTCAGCCCTGAGCTTACATTACATAGTCGTCCTACCTATGCGCGAGTTGATCTAGCATCATGTCCCCTCTCTGCCATCCCATGAAGGGTACGTCCCACCATCATTGTTCGGTCAAGAGCAAACAGAGTACCGATTCTGTTTACTACTGCGCTGTGATTTACAGCTACAAGCATGTCCATCGGGCCATCGGGCAGCACATTTCTCCGGCTGCAATTCAAATGATCCGTCTCAGGCGCCTTAGATCTAGAAGCAGTCGGGACGCGGTATGCAACTGGCGACCACGCCCCAATGCCACCAGCAAGGCATTCTGCGCTACAACCTGGGCAGGATGGAGAATGGACTAGCAAAATCTCAATGACAGGGTGAAAGCCCAGCTATAGCGCTCCTAAAGAACAATGCTCTGAGTTGTTCAATAATCATTCAACTGAACTCATGTGATGCGGCTGCCCCTTCATGCTTGGCCAAAGGTGTCCATGGCATCTGTCACCATGCACATTCCATCAGCTCCGTCCTAGTGCAGTCCAAAGTGCTGCTGGCGCTCGCCCCTTCAAACGTCGAAATTCTTCGAAGTCGTGCAATGCTTTCCTGTGGCTGCAATCAGAGCACCAAGCATCTGCACCAATCGAAGCTAGTGTCGACAAAAAACTGGTTGTATCAACCTCTTTGCACTTGGTCAGTTGCTTTGGCAATGATAATAGGTCTCACTGGTGGATGCCTGAACAGCCAAGCCCCTGATGATTCCCCATGTGGAGTAGCTAGCTGATTCACATGACACCCTCACTCCAGAAAGCTCAGCTGCGACAACTTCGTCAAACTGCTACGATAGCTGACCACAGATAGAGATGAATGAGAAATCAACATGGGACAAGGATCCCATGCCTGGAAATATACAAACCCCACTTGACTGCTTGACTTTCAACTGACACTTGGAAGCCAGCCTCCACTGCCATTGATGCCTGAAACGTTGCAGATCACATATCCGAACATGTTGAATCGTTGCTCAAGGCACAACTGGTTGGCAGAAAAATGTTGCGGGTCAATTCAGAGGTGGGCTCTTAGATCCAACGGTGATCACATGCGCGTACAAACTTCAGTCTTTGGAATCCAGCACAATACTAGTTTCTCAGGAATTCGAATGGTTCCCACATCAACAACTAACCCAACTGCCAGATCCATGCTGAGTCCAAGCTGCCCATGAACACCAATGCTCCGAGCCAGCTCACGGCTCATAAGGATGCCGCACTTCAGGCCAACGCAAAATTCGACACGCCGGCATGGAGCGGGCTGATGGGTTTGGGAGGTGGGTTCAACTTCTCCATTGTCAATTATCTGAGATGTGCGGATAAATACTGTATAATGTAATTATTATTATTAATTATTATTATTATATATTATTGTTATTATTGTTATTTTATTATCATTATGTGTATATATATATATTATTATACAATATATTATTTGGATAACCGGATCCTAATTTGATTGTGTAGCGGGCAATTTTTTCCGGATGGTTAGGCCCTATGCAGAGAGACAAACAACGCAAACAATGGGATTGGTGCCTGAAAGATCTTGAAAGGTGCCTATCTGAGTCCATCCATGCTATCAAGCGTTTGGCCCAAGTCTGGCTCGGCAATAGGAGCAAAAATAACGACCAACAACGGTCCAAAGGTATCAAAGATCGGCATTCCCAAGATTACAACTTGAAGATCTTGAAGGGGACGTCAATGGAACTGTTTCGACCACTCAGACTAAGATAAAACTCCCACCCAATGCATCTCGAAGCAGTATGGGGCAAAGGATGCTGCGATGCTCTCACTATGCGCAATCAGGAGAGGTTTTAAGGGCAACAGTCGGCAACAGTCTGATTCTCCCCGTTGATATGAAACAGCTTTGAGCTGTCAACCTTCTGGATACTGTTAAAATCTGTTAAACCTCCCAATAAAAACTGAAGGGGCCAAGCGATCAGCAGCAAGCCAGTACAGGTGGATGCAGCACGACAGTGGAAACTTTCCCTTGCTGCGAATCAATTGGTAAAATTACTGCTTTGACAACCGGCTCCAACTGGGTCAGAGAAAACAGCAACATTTGCAGAATTTCGCAAGAAGATCTCCACGTATCTCCACCAGACTACAAATATTACAAATGGTACTAACATGATCTAACATGTACTATCGTTCATTGTATTTCATTTCCATCTGCAATGGACCGCATCATTTTACGAATCTGACTCAAGCTGCCAGCGGCGTGGAACTTTGCCACCGCCCAGTGATGGCACGGGGCACGGCATGATCCCAGGGCGCCATCCCACAATCCCTGCCTTGCCCTGCTGCTGGTAGATTGATTGGTTCCTCGCACTGTCAACTTCCTTGAATCACCTCTGCCCACATGGTACCAAACCGTTCACTACCGCCCTTGCTCACACGCAAGACACCAGGAAATCTGCGTAACGACGGCAGCTGCTTCGACCTGTGCACGTTCTTGGTACGTTTTTCCAATGTGGGAAGATGAGTGGATAGGAGTTATAATCTTGCCAGAAAAGGGATCAAATTTACAGCACGAATCCAAGGCTGTCATGTCTATATAATCTAATGCAGCATTTCCGGATCGCAATATACAAGATTATAGAAGTCTATAGTACAAGGCAGCTAAGACAGAAAGTTCGAATATAGTAAGAAGACTGATCTTAAACTTCGAAATGAATAGAAATGATCGATGCACAAGCATGCTAACATCATGCACCGAATCATAAATGTTTGAAGCTGCATGTTGTATTTCTGCTTGCGAAAGACGGACAAGAGCAACATCAATCTACTTGCAATGTAATGCAGGCATCGCTCAAATTGACCTGTTTCCGACGCTGTTGCCCATGAAGTTGGGAGAAAATTTGGAACTAGTTGAAGACTTCAAGTCACACGCACACACACACGCACACACGTGTCAAATGTGCACCCTACTCACTGTTCACCCAGACATACCAGTCAGGGACACCTGGCTTCATGCTGCGCGAATGTCTTGTTGACCTGGGCCACATTGGGGGGCTGAGCTAAAAGCCCGGGTCGAAGACTTTGAAACATGTTGAAAGCAAACCTCTTGAAGTTCCTCCGTGTCGCATTTTTCAATGTCTTGAGCTGAACATGTCGCCTCGCTCTTTGAAATCCGCGGACGTACTGCCGAACTGTGTTGTGCGTGTGCACCCAGCCGATAATCGTCTCAATTCAACTGCATGCTCATAACACGCACAATCATGAGCACCCGCCATCCAGTCCCTTGGGAATCTCTGTGCAATATCTTTGACAGTCGTTTGGTTGAAACAAAACAGGTCAAAAATTGTCAAAACATCTCAGAACATCTTCACTCCCACTACGAACATTTTGAGATCCTAGCCGTCTCCAAGAGCTCCATGTCGGTGGTAGACAGGGCATCGCAGCCCTCAGAAGGGTTAGGTTGGCTTGATCTGGCTTGAGGGCTTAACTAGATGCACTTACTTTTTAAATGCACAGAAATGGAGTGAAAAAATGGTGGTGGTTGGTTGAACCATTGGTGGTTCAATCGTTGGATCACCAGCCAAGGCCAATGTGCTGAGTCTTGGCTGGTCAGACCTGCTGAAGTCACAATTCCACTTGCTGTGGTCACGTTTCACCCCCAAGAATCTGCGGTCAAGAATCTGCTGGGCTTGCGCTGCATGAAGCTCCATCTGACCATTTGGATGAGTTTCCAGCTCCTAGCCATTGCCAACACCAAGGATTGGTGAAATGGTGACACTACATACACGGAGAAAGTGAAGTGGGTGCAGCAACAGTAACGATGGCAGCAACAGCATCAACAGCAACAACACCAACACCAAAACCAACACATTGCTGTCATGATTCCTAAAATAGCCCACGGCTCTTCATGTGCTTTCTCATCCAATGGAACCAACACCTTTTACATCATGTCTACCGTGTTCTGGTCTCCCCTCCTTCCCCGTGTCTACAAAATCGTCAAAACTCCTTATATTCCACACCTTGCGAGTTGTAAGGAGACAGCGGAGACTGTGAATTTCTTCAACCTTTGCTGAGACTGCACAGAAAATATATGCACAAAAATCGTCATTCAATGCATAATGTATATCGAATATGATCTAATATGTAGAACAATAATATAATATCAATATTAATATGTATACATATTAATATATACATATATGTGTGTGTGTGTATTGTATAGCAATTTTAAAAACACTATATATATACATATGATTTATAATCAATGCACAAAAACGACTTCCATCAAGGCCCATCCACAACTCCAGTCCTCCGCAGAGGCTGCAGGCACAGGCGGAGGAATATAGCCCACAGGCTGCGCAAGTTGGGAGTTTGGGAAAAGAAGCTAGCACTTTCCAAATCTTGTCCCACCAAAATCACCAAAGACAAAATTGAAGCCTCTGCAAAAAAACAGAAGTTGGTGGCGAAGCAATTCTACAAGTGCTTTGCACCGATGGAATGTGTTCACCAGATCAGTTTTCAATTGGATGGTCCAAGACGTCACTGGAAAAAAAAGAGTTAAACCATGTTAAACCGGATCTGACAACAGCCTCTTCGATGTCGCCCAAGCGCAGCTCCTCAGGAGGTTCCTCTGGGCGCTCCTCAGAAGATGCCAGCATTTCCTACCAAGTCAAGGTATGAAAGCAAGTGGTTGAAACAATGCTCTCAAATGCCTGAGGGGGCAAATTACTATGTGGCTGCTTGACTCCCCCTACAACACCTACAAGCAACTACAAGTAAGTGTACTAAGTTATACTAAGTATATAATCTCAATTGACCTCAATCATCCTAAATCATCTTAATACCACAGTATTCCACAGTAATGGATCCAAAGCCTCAGCAATTCGCAGCCAAGTTGCAGGGAGCTGTGGTGCTTGTGGAGGCGGCAGAGGCTCTGACACGTCCTAGAGGAGCGTTCACTGTTTGGAGATTTGGAGGATGATGGATGAAGGATGAAATATGATGAAATCAAAAGATTTCAAAAGAACTTGTTGAAACGCTTTTTTAAAAGGTGTCATCTGCAACACTTTTGGTGTATGTGGAAATTGGCATGATTCACATATGATAGAGGCATTTCATCTGATAAAGCCATTTCATTTCACAAAGGCCAGGCCAATTCTGGTTCTGAGTCTTAGCCCAAGCATCTTCATGGACGGAGGTGTCTGTTGTAGGCGGTCTCCATGCTTCTTCTACTGCACCAGAGGCCGGATCTGCAAAACCTCAGCAAGATTGGCTGACCCCGATAAACTGCATGAGCCAATTTTGAAAAACAATCCTAATGGCCAACGTTGACTGGCTTGAAGATCGTGCTGCATACGGCGGTTGCACATTTTCCACTTTACTAAGAGATCCTCGAGAGCTGCCAATTAAATACCACAAGATTGCTTTCGATGTTTGCGGCAATTCCCCAGCTTTCACTGATTGCAAGCAGGCCACGCTCAGAACAAAAGTCCCAGCCTCGGGCAAACGTGAGGACATCTTGAGACCAAAAGGAAGCTGAAGCTGTCCGCTTGTCACTTTCATTAGGGTTAGAAGCCCATGTCATCATGTGTCAACAGCTTATGATCTCTGCAAAAGGGGATCTGGTCAACGTTACCGAGTTACCGCTGCTCCAGGTGGAACGTTACTGCTGCTTTAGGTGGTGTATCGTGACCAGCGTTTCATACACAGCCCAGGTCATGAATTCTGAAATGTCCAGCCGTGCCACTGTGGGAGGCATTCCATCCAAGTCCTGCGAGTTCAGGTCGTTCATCATCCACCGTGGTGGGACAAATGCGGAACACACCGCTGTCGTCCCTCGGAGTTTGGAACAGTGGTGACCTTCACAGAATCTCAATCCGAGTGCCTCCAGTTACTCCAACCGCCTGGGTATTGTGACATCTGAAATCACCTGAAGGTGTAAAGATATGTAAAGATTCCAATCTAGGATTGCTTCCAAGGATCGTAGTGGTGCAAAGGTGCCTGGGATTGCTGGAGAATCGACAAGCCAATGCGACAGCTTGTCATGCTCAAACGATGCTCCCATGCAATGGACTTCACGGATTTTTCAGCCAGCTTCATGTCTGTGGTCTGAAGTAGATATTTGCCACAGAGCCGGAATCCTAGAAACCACGCTTTCAAAGACTGACAGGGGGACAAGCCTTGCAGTGTACAACGACCACCAAGTTTGTGGCGGCCAACTAGTGTCACAGCTGTGATGTGGTCATTCATCCCTTATTCTTCCATCCAATTCCCTGCTTGTCCTTGTTAAAGTTTGCTTGTAAACGAATATGCTACAATTGCCAATCTGTTGTGTGCGTGTGTGATCGTGTGTGTGTCTTCATTTCCTTTCAAAATCTGGAAGGAGGCTTAGGTACATCGCTCGCCTCCAAAGCCATCTGGTCGATCCCTAGATTTCACATTTCAAAAATGATCTGAGGATGTGGATGTATAATGATGTATATCAGTGTCAACCAATTTCCATTGTCAGTATCTTGCTATATCTTGCTCTACGGCCTCCACATGACCCTCAAACATCCTGCGCCCAGTTGCTGATGACTTGGATCTTTCCTTGGTTCCCAAGCTGTTTCAGACCGTGTGAAGGGGACTCTCATAACCCATGCTTCCTGCTTGTGAAATTCAATCATGAGATATGCATAGATATGCATAGATATGCTGTAGAACTTGCCGACTCACTTGCCTCTTCCAAAACGGGGCAAATTCAAAACCACCAGCCACCAACAGCCACCGGCAGACTTTTCGCCCAGGAGTCTGGTACTGAAGCATCGCATCCACAGAGAGTCGGTCTCGCAAAGGCACCTTCGCCAGATTGATGGAGCCATCCTGTCATGGCCACAGTGCAGCTATCCACTGGGAATCTGCTTTTAAATCTCGAGATGTTTTAACAGTAGGATATACACCGTGGTCAAGCAAATGAATGTGCAAATTACACGTATTCCGCGCAACACAGGGGGAAGATCTGATTAGATCTGATTAGCATTTATGGAGTGGCGATCTTTGGAGACATCGATGCGATCCGCTGTCAAAGATGCAGACACAATTCGATTTGAACATGCCGGAGAAGTCTGTACAATTGGTTTCTGCACTCTAGGACATTCCTAAGGTTCGCGGATTCCAACCATACCCAGGAAAGGGCTGCAATTTTTTTTGGGATGTTTTCCCGTTTTTTTTTGGGATTTGTTTCCCGTTTTTTGGGGTTTGGTGGTTTTGATTGGTATTTGCAGCGTTTTGCAGCTAAGCTCTCTGATGTGCATGGTGTTGTTGTTGTTGTTGTTGTGGTTGGAAGAAAGGATGGATGGATGGTTGGTTGGTTGGTTGGTTGGTTAGTTAGTTGGTTGGTTGCTTGCTTGGTTGCTTGGTTGCTTGGTTGCTTGGTTGCTTGGTTGGTTGGTTGGTTGGTGTTGGTTGGTGTTGGTTGGTGTTGGTTGGTTGTGGTTGTTGTTGTGGTTGGTGGTTGTGGTTGTGGTTGTGGTTGTGGTTGTTGTTGTTGTTGTCGTTGTTGTTGTTGTTGCTGTTGCTGTTGTTGTTGTTGTTGGTTGTTGGTTGTTGGTTGTTGGTTGTTGGTTGTTGGTTGTTGGTTGTTGTTGTTGTTGTTGTTGTTGTTGTTGTTGGTTCTTGGTTCTTGGTTCTTGGTTCTTGGTTCTTGGTTCTTGGTTCTTGGTTGTTGGTTGTTGGTTGTTGTTTGCTGTTGTTGTTGTTGTTGGTGGTGGTGGTTGTTGTTGTTGGTGGTGGTGGTGGTTGTTGGTTGGTTGTGGTTGTTGTTGTTGTTGTTGTGGTTGTGGTTGTGGTTGTGGTTGTGGTTGTGGTTGTTGCTGTTGCTGTTGCTGTTGCTGTTGCTGTTGTTGTTGTTGTTGTTGTTGTTGTTGGTGTTGGTGTTGGTGTTGTTGTTGTTGTTGTTTGTTGTTGGTTGTTGTTGTTGTTGTTGTTGTTGTTGGTTGTTGGTTGTTGTTGTTTGTTGTTGTTTGTTGTTGTTGTTGTTGTTGTGGTTGTGGTTGTGGTTGTGGTTGTTGTTGGGGAGGCTAGCGGATCAAAAACAAAAAACAAATAAGGATCAAAAAAAACAAAAAATAAGGGATCGACAAAAAAAAAAGAAGGATCAAAAAGAAAACAAAAAATGTAGAAGTAGTAGAAGTAGTAGTAGCAGTAGTACTAGTAGTGAGTACTAGTACTAGTAGTACTAGTAGTACTAGTAGTACTAGTAGTACTAGTAGTACTAGTAGTACTAGTAGTACTAGTAGTACTAGTAGTACTAGTAGTACTAGTAGTACTGGTAGTACTAGTAGTACTAGTAGTACTAGTAGTACTAAGTAGTACTAGTAGCATTAGTACTAGTAGTAGTAGTTAGTATGTAAGGCAGCAGCAGCATCAGTAGTAGTAGTACTAGTAGTAGCAGTAGTAGTAGTAGTAGCAGCAAGAATGAAAACATTGATTATATAAAAAATAAACCCAAATAAACGATGCTTGCGAAGAAAAAGAAATAAAGTAGGTAGCAAGGGAAGCTGATTAAAAAATAAAAGCGGGTGGGGGGGTGCAGGGAGGAGGGCGCAGCGCCTCCCCCCGCAATGCGTACCAAGAAAGAAGCACACAGGCTCAAGTCTCGATGGATATAAATAAAGATTAAGAAAGAGAAGATGAACCCAAAGAAATGGTACATATGAAAAAATGAAAGGGAGTAGGTAGCAAGGGAAGTCGATTAAAAAATAAAAGCGGGTGGGGGGGTGCAGGGGGGAGGGCTGAAGAGGGGCCCTAGCGTCTACTTCAAGATCAGCTAAGGCGTCTTCCCCAATGACAGCACTCTTTTACTCTCAGCCTGTTGCCGGTCAGTGCTTGTCTACAGGGTTACTCTATATACCTCTTTCTTGAGCCTTGAAAGGCGCATATAAATGTGCTCAATACTCATGCATGTACCTATGTAGGTATTAGGTCGAAACAAAAACACAGGCACAAATTCAAAAGCAATGAGTAGAGCACTACGCCTTGCCGTACCCAATTGGTATTAAGAGTATCTTCCTGACTTCTCTACACAATGGCAAATAGCAAAAGAAACCGGAGTTACGCAGTGGCTTCGAATTGAAAAACACGTGAAAGCAGCGAATGTCCTAAGGACATGTCGAAAAAGAACAGCGGATTCGCTAATTTTTTTCCAGTAGCGACCAATGGTGCTTCGCGCACGGTCTCTCCATAGGCAAAATGCCTTGCTCTACCGGTGAAAGTTCGAATTGAAAAGTTCGGGTTCGCAAGATTCAGAAATTCAGGTCATACGAAAAACAATTGACCAAATCACGAAATAAACGGAAATAGCGGATCTCCAAGGTTGCTCATTCAAGCAAACAATGGACTGAAATCGAAGTTGGTAATTTTTGGAGTTCGCTCTATTCGGAGTGGTCTGCTCGCCGGATGATTCATGGAGATAAATGTATATAGTATCTCTATTTACAAGAGTCTCTATTTTACATTAAATTGAAGTTCAGACACTTGTGGCATTATCTCTATCTAAAAGAGTATATGCCATTTGTGTGAAATAAGTTGATGCACAGAAAAACTGTACACGGCCTCTCATGCTGTGTTATCTTCATTTAAAGAAGTATACACTCACTCATAGCCAAAAGCTTGTTCTCCATGGTCTGGACGAAGAAGATGAGGATCCACCCCACTCTGTGTTGCCCTGATACGTCGATGCTTGATCTTCATATGCCTTTCTCTTTTTCTCCTTCTGTCTTTCCTTTCTTGTATCAGCATACTGCTTCTTCTTGTATGCCTGTTTGTAATGATGTCGTTCATTCCATGACATATCAGAAGGATCAAGATGGACAAGAATTGGATTATGAGCATCGCGATCATTTGGGGCAACCATGAAGATGTTGTGATCACCATGTAAGCAAGTTTCATTTACCTTGAAGTAAAATTCACCCACATAGTTCATGTGATCTTCATCCTCAAAGTCTTCTGGGTGTTCCTCACACATCAAACGTGAAAGACCCCACTCAACAACTGTTAACATACAACAATCACCTTTACCATTTGTCTTGTTCATGAGCTCGTCGGTGTATGTTGCTGTTGTAATGCCATCCAAGTGCGTTGCAAGAAAATCCAAGTCACGATAACTGCAAGAAATAAAATGCTTGACCCTGATTGGAGGGCAAGATGAATCAAAATACTTGCGCATGGCTTGTGTTGCAACACCTACCATTCTGTTGATCCAGAATTGGATAAGGCTGTGTTGATATGTAGGGACACCTGGAGATTTTGGTGTGCTGTAATAGCATGCCTTGTTCCCATCACCTGCGATGAAGTCAACTTGATATCTGGCACACTCAAAAGCCATAACAGCTAAGCACTCACCAACAATCCCAGCCGAGTCTGATGCATACTTCTGTCCGACGTGATAAACGCACACACGTGTCATTCTCATCCTAGCTCTTGTCAAGTCAACAATCTCATCTGTATCTCGATCCTTTGTCTTTCCCCAAGATACTTCAAAGATTGCCCATGAGACTTGTCGAACTCGTGTGTCGTTGTCATCTGTGTGATATCCAGCAATTTGCTTGATATAGCCATCCTTTCCAAGGCGAGCTGCCACCATCAAGTCATGATAGTCATTGAAGCAAGTTTTGAAGTCAACCTCGTTGAGTCTTTCTCTGTGAGGATACAATGAACCAGCCTCGCAATTCATGAAAAGATGTCCTCCAAAGTTCTTGATGACATTGATGAAGTAATTGTTGAACTGTGATTTGTTTTCATCAAATTTTTCATGATCCTCATCGATGGTGTAGTCAATGTGTGGAATGAATTGTTGAAATCTTTCTGGAACCGGGCATTTTTCAAATCTGTTTCTGCACCAGTTTCCCAAATTCCAAAACATTGCTGTTATCTGTGGAGAGGATCTGTATGGAAATTCAGCATCCTTGTACGTTGGGTCTGATAGGCCTCCACCTAAGTACCTGTAAGCCAAGCTATGCAAAATCATACAGTAAGGCAAGACCTTGTGTTCCTCAACGTAATCTTGGAGTACCTTTGTGAGATTTCCAAAATCGTCATCAATCCTCTGTTCTGCTTCTTTTGAGGATCTTTCTGCCTTGTCTTGATGAAGAGGATGCATCCTAGGATCACTACAACCATATTCAATGCGCTGATTGAGTTCTTGTAATTCTAGTTGTGGATTTTGATCCTTGTGTCTGGCAATGTACTCAACCATCAACTGGTCATCTGTAAGATGGTACCAATAATCTTGATGTGGAGACATGGTCTTTCTGTACTTGACATGCCAAAACATGTGTCGATGCTTCGAAGATGCTGGATAACCTTTGTTGTAAAATCCTGCCCATTCACCATGGTAACCATCTGAAAAACAATCCTTCAATTTTCGAAAAACTGAATCATCTTCGTTTCCAGTGATATCTTGACCATAGTAAAGTCGAATTGCAGGTTTCACTTCAGGAGCTGTCTCATCATCTTGAATGTCTGTTTTCTTCTCCCCTGATTCCTCCTTCTCTGAGGAGCGTTCAGGTGGAGCTGATTCCTCTTTCTCTAAAGAGCCTTCAGCTGGGACATGTGGCTCCTGTGTGTCTTTTTCTTCTTCTTCTTCTTCGACAGCAATCTCCTCATCTTCATCCTCTTCTTTCTCTTCTTCCTCTTGTCGTTCTTCTGGTTTGACAAAACTTTCCTTGATCTTTCGTTGAACATTCTGATTGCACATACTGATCCATTTCAATGTACACTCAACCAATTTGTCATCATCAGTTTCCAAAATGATATGCTTGTCCTCAATGTTCAAACTTTCAATAGTATGTTTGTACTCAGGATCACCTGCGCCTGGTCTTTGAAG